AAAGAACAAGCTAGTGAGAAAATTAAAAGAATGAGCTAATGGACGTGTTATGCAAAATTAAAATGAAGAACAAAGGGTTAGGGTTAATTTGAATTGAAGATTTTATTGTAATCGAGGTATAAAAATGACATGTCTTTCAAGCTTTGTAATTGTTTTTTCACATTATTGCTTATGTAGTATTTAAAGTCTAGCTATCATAATTCGTTATATGCCATGTCGACTTTATTTAGAATTTATGTTGAAAAATCGGATCCATCCTAGTATTAGTATCGAAAATCTAGTTGATGACGTTTCTATCCAAAGTTTTTAATTTTCTAGAACATTAAGCCATCATAATTTTGTTAGATATTAAGGAAAATTATTAATTAAACAAACATGTGTTGCCTTAGAAATATAAAAACAAAATAATGAGATCCAATCATGCATAAATGTATGTTCGTTGTATTGATGGGTATTTAAATAATGATTTCGTGAATGAGGTTGAAGAATTTGTTATTACTCATCATAAATTCACGAACGAAAGAAAGCTAAGGTGTTCTTGTAATTCGTGTAAGTGTCAAAATCAAAATTTTGAAGAGGTTAAGGTGGTTAAATACCATTTAGTGAGATACGATTTTGTGTCTAGATATTATGATTGAATACACCATAGGGAAATCAACTCCAAAAGTTATTGTGTTGAAAATTTTTCATGAAGACAAAAAGATTTATAGTGAAACCTCCAATACATATCAAACAATGATGATGGATGCGGTCGGTCCATCATTTAACCGATCTAACACGGACGAGGTAACAAATCCCAACGCTCGAGCTTTTTATGACACGTTGAATGTAGTAAATAGAGAGATTTTGCTTGGTTGTGACAATCACTTGTAGTTGTTTATAGTTGCTCAATTGAGAAATCTCAAGTTGAAACATCATTTTTCAAATGCAAATAGTGATAGGGTTGTTACGAGACCCGCAATAGACTCGCGTCCCTCCGTCGATCCCTCACAACTCACGAGTAGTTATTTCTCAAATTCGGGATATCTGAATTTTGACGATTAAGGATAGAAAGGGTTTGGTTTTAGATTTTTTTTAAAGGTTTTTAATATCTTCGTACACCTTAACGTATTTATATATTTATTTAATTTCAATTTATATTATTTTAATTTTATTAAATAATATATCATGTTTTCATAAGATTTTATTTTTTATTATTTGTTACAAATATTAACATTAAACAACTATTAATTTATATTAAAAATTAAAATTTCCTTCTTTTAGAGGTTAAATTAGTGACAAACTTATGACAAATACCGATGCAATCACTAAATAGTGATGGATCGGTAAGAAAATTTTAACAAGAATAATTAAGTGAAGAAAATTCCGTCGTTATTTAGCAATGAAAATAGTGAATTAATGATGATGTTGCGACAAACATGAGACCGGAGAGATGGTTGTTTGCTATGCTTTAGTGGCAAAATTTCTACATATTAACAATGAATTAATTATCGCTAGTGAACGATGAAATAATTTTTTCATCACTATGAAAATAACGACGATGACTTTTGCTATGTAAAGTGTGTTGTCTCGGATTTATCGTTGAGGACAAACTAACAATGAATTTTGACTACATATCGACGGAAAAATCCGTTTTTATTTTTCAATTTCTTGTAGTGAAAGAAGTTTGTAATCCTTTGGTGATGGGTTCTACTATCAAAACTAAGACTCGGTCATTGAAGAATCTATTTTGACTATGAATATCTCCCTAACTTTTGTCATCTTTTTAGTTGTCTAAGACATGTAGATAAAGACTGTGAAATATCATATGATGATCGATCAAAAGGTGCTCCTCCTTAGTTCGGGTATGATGAGTTATTACAAGCTTCCCCACGTAAAAATTTTCAACTAAAGGAAACAAAGGTTAGTAGTTGTTCCGATTCCAATTCTAACTATATTTTTTTTATGCATACAAATTTATCACTAAATGCTGATGTAAAAATTAGTGAAAATCCCACCATTAGCAATATGGGTGGATTTTTTTCTTGATGTAAAATAGAGAAGGAACAATTGCAAGATTAGTTCTAAAAGATTTTTTAGATACGAGAGATTGGTCTTGATTATGTTATCAAAGACTCGAAAGAGGTTAAAAGTTTTAGCATATCCTCATCGAATTCCATAGATAACGTAATGGTTCATAGTGAGAAAAAAATTCCAAGATTCCTTATCTTATAGGAATCCCTCGAATTTAGAATCGATATCTCCAAAAAAACTTAATGGACACCCATACCTATAGTTACGCTTCAACTCATGCCTTGTAAAAGCGTATTACTTCCTTACCCTCTCGACCACTAAATATCCCAACTATCCTACCAACCCAAAGCCCTATCAATTAGCCCAAAATTCCTACCCTGCTAGAATACCTAATTCGTGACTCAACCAATACCTTACCACAACTAATTACCACTTCATCGTCAAATCCTTAAGCATTCTAACTAATTTACCAATCTAAGGCTAAGTTAATCAAGTAAGCAATCTTACTCCATCAAAATAAATGATACATAACCCAAACACCTCCACTAGATAACCCTTACATCATAACCAACTCGTTATGTTGGGAAACAATTCAAGCAAAATAATAAAGTAGAATAACCAAGAACAATAACACAACATAAAGATTTTATGTGGTTTGACAATTATGTCTACTCCACGACTGCACTATAATTTCTTATTAGGTTTTGTCAAGTGACGGCTACAAATATAAGTGATGTTGCCTTCGTTTATAGTGTGACTAATTAAAGTTATATGAAAAAAGGCCTAAGAAGCTTAACTCGAGACCGTCATACTCGGATCTATCTAACGCCTTTGATTACGAGCCCCATCCACGTCAATCTTCACTACTTAATATGTTACTTTTAGAAAATCGGTTGTGTAGTATAATTTATGTGGTATAATTATAGTTTCCTAAACAAAACATAATCCGTTAAATTTAGACAAAAGAAAAAAATTCAATCAATGAAGGATAAAACAACTATAGTAGAGAAGGAGGAGGTCGGAAAGAGGAAAATGCACGATGATGGTAGTGCGGGGTTCCTAATAGAGATTGAAATAGTGGAGAAGAGGAGCAAGGATGATTTGTTACATAATAATATATGTGGTTTTATAGACTTAAAAGCACAAACTATTATGCGATCTTGCCTATCATCATGAATTCCTTATGGTGGAATTGTCACGACTTATCACGATCATACACGATTACTGGAACTACTAAGCTATAAGTCTTATAAGACTTCACCAAGTTTTTCTTTAAGAAACTAGGCTCGAAAGTTTGAGATGCAAAAAATAAATCATAAACTCAATCGATTTTAGTAATGAGTGGATGAAGGGATTGCTATGCATTGGATTGACTCTTTGACTCGAGTTTGCTATTGTTCTCCATAAACAATATTGATATGAAAGCCTCCCTAATCTCGAATTTGGTGCATTGAGTGGAGAGATACTAGATGAATGGCTAGAAAAACATAACAAGAAATCTTGAAAATTGTTATCTTAGCTTGCTTCAGATCCTATTTTACGTGAGGAATGCTTACCATTTTGAGATGGACATGATTTCCAATACACTAGTTGCCTCGAATGAGAGCTCTTGGTGGAAGATGATATGGAACTCTAATGTTGTTCCCAAGATCAAGAATTTCATTTGACTTGCTTGCTTCGGATGTTCTTTGTGCTAAAGAGAATCTTATTTTTAGAGGTGTTTGGGTGGACCAATTATGTATTTGCTATAGTTCCTCCGAATATTCTTGGTATATTTTTTTGAGTTGTAATTAGGGGCAACATGCCTAGAAGCTTCTCCATCGAAGCTCGATGTGTTTGGAAACATCTCAATCCTCTTTTAAAGCCTATTTGAAAAAAATTTCATATTGAGTGTTGTTTCCAAAATATAATTAAATAGAAGAGTAATTGAAAATGAATAGAAGTAGAAACATTCCAACCAAATTTTAAAAAATAAAATGAAAAGGAATAAAAATAAAGTTAACAAAAAAAATTATTTAATTATTTTTTTAAATGTTAAAAGTAATAAATATCATGTAAAGTGCAAAACACACTACTAATTAATAAATATTTTTATATCTTCAAGGAAAAACCAAAAGTTATTGTTTGTGACATGTCCTTTGAATCAAATTAACTTGCCTCTCGCCACTTGTTTAATAAAATTGAAGTATTTTATTTATTTTTTATAAATATTTATCGAACTTAATTTTAATTAAAATTAATGAAAGTTAATTAAAAATTAAAAATAGATTTTATAAGAGGATTATTAGAAAACGAATCACATAATTTATAGATTTATGTAGTTTGATAAGTGTATCCAGATCAAAGCTTAAGCTGCTTAACTAAAAACTTTTATTAGAGTTTTTCGATTGAAGGCAACAATAAAAAAAGAAACGTTAGCTTTACTGACAGTGCCAACAACCAAAATTATATTAAAAAAAAAAAAAACCCAACGGTCTATAAGCCTGGCTCAAAACGCTCGGCAAAGAGCGCTGCTTTTTTTTTTTTTTTTTTTGTCTCCCGTGCTCGCTAATCGGCTAGCATGACCGGCTATCCGTAGCTTAGTAAACTACGAATCATATCCAACAGAACACGGATCACTAACTTACTAGCTAGACCGTTGGCCAGTTAAACCTAACATCCACTCCGACTTGCTCTTTCTACTGTCAAAAACCCATCAAAACTTCCTCCCGGACCCTGTCGCCTCGCCATGGATGCTGAAACTGACCCACTAACAAGATCGGTAACCAAAAGGTCTCTCTTACTGTTTTCTGTTTTAGCTTCTTTCTTCTCGTTTTCATTTTGTCAATAATTTGTTTAATTTTTTTTCTTCGTGTTGAATTTCGATCATCTTCTTCAGAAACTCCAAGTCCATGCCATGGATTGAAAATGTGTAATTTTATGGATGCAGGCACAAATGCTTTGCATGCTACAAGCAATTCAAGATAAAAGAACATCTTGTTGAGCACATGAAGATTTCTTACCACTCACCTCATCAGCCTAAATGTGGGGTCTGCCAAAAGCACTGCAAATCTTTTGAATCTTTGAGGAATCACCTTAATGGTATATCATACTATTTCATGTTCTGATTGCTTTATCTGTTAAAGTTTACTAATGTTTTTTTCATGTTTTCCTACGATTATTTAGGCCCATTAGCAAGGGCAAGTTGTTCGAGGGTTTTCTCTGCCCAAGTTTGTGATCTTTGCTTAAAAGTCTGTGATAACCCCAGTTCTCTTGGCAAGCATCGAGATACATGCTCCCTCTCTGCACCTGCTTCCCTTGTAAGTTGCTGATTGGTAATTGTTATGCAGAAATGGGAACTTCTCCATCTTTTCGCGCCCTTAATTTTATTTTATTTTACATTTTAAATGATCAATTACTGAAAGTCATGTCACCCGTTCCTTTTTTTTTTTTTTTGGCAGGGAACAAAGATATTGCCTTCTGCAGAATCAGTTGATGAAAAGTACACTGCCAAAGGTGCTGGGGCCATTGCTATTGACTGTGAATTGGTTGGTGGTGGAATCGATGGATCTCTTAACCTCTGTGCAATGGTTTGTCTGGTTGATGAAGATGAAAATATAATTTTCCATACATATGTTCAACCTCAAATTACTGTCACTGATTACAGGTACTTTTGTCTTGACATGATCCTTGGTTTTCTTTGAAGGATAACAGAGTTGGGGAGCAATCGACTTTCTTTGAAAGTACATTTTTAATTGAAACTTGTAAACATGTTTTCAGATATGAAATAACTGGATTAACTGAAGAGCATCTGAGAAATTCGAAGTCACTCAAGGAAGTACAAGACAGAATTCTGGAAATTTTGTACAATGGAGAATCTGCTAGGATAGTAAGGTCAGATGGTGGAAAGGCTAGACTGCTCGTGGGTCACGACTTGAAGCATGATTTGGATTGCTTGAGAATAAACTATCCTGGTCATTTGTTGAGGTAGATTAAACTCTTCTGAAGGTTGAACATGGTTAGTGAAGATTGCCTATTTTTGTTTCATGAAAATGACAATTGCAGTTTGGGATGGAACATTACAGTTTATAAATAATACCTATAATTCAGTCTTGGAAAAAAAAATTACTGAGCCACCCCACTGCTTTACGAATCTGACTTTTTGAATAATATCACTAATCTGCAATGTAGTCTACTTCTAGGTGAAGCAAATCCTAAAATATTACTAAGTTGCAGCACTGTTGGAAGAATGACACTTAGGGGTCATTTTGATGTGTCTTGGAATAAACCTCAAATTCTCATATTATTGAATATGAGCTTTTTGTTGCGCATTGGGCACTGATCATAATTGAAGGTTTGGTAAGTTTTCTTGTGACTTTTGTTTTGCAACATTCTAATTTTTCCTGGGATGCATCCAAGTACATTCTAAATGAACATAAGATCAGATATAGTAGAAAGTTTTGCCTCTTTTGTCTTAAACTCATTCCCTTATGCTAGGACTGCCATAAGATATCTTCAATTGCTGGTCAATCTTGTCTCGCCCTCCATATTGGGAGTGACTCCCCCTACAGGCCAAGACAGAACCTAAGGGACTCGCCCCAATTTTTTGAGAAAATGGGTCAAAAGTTTTGTTTTTTTTTTTTTTTTTTTTGGGGAGATCCTGTAATTTGAAATTTAATAGTTGAGTTATCCATGGCAAATGTTGTGTGCACATTCTCTCTAGTTTTGGATCTGAACAATGTAAACATTTTTTACCTTATGATTTGGCATTTTTCCTTCCTGTAATGTAAACGTTGTGCTTTTATTTTCTGAGCTGCATTGATTTTTATTTATGTAGGGATACTGCAAAATACCGTCCATTGTTGAAAACTAATCTGGTTAGCCACTCACTCAAGTACCTCACGAAAACATATCTTGGGCAAGTTGCTCTGTCTCTTCTTGTTTCTTTCTGATTGTCTTATACTGATTGGATCTGCCCTCCTGCATGTACGATGAGTGAATCCTTATATGATTTAATTGAACTAAAAATAATGCTTTTTTGTCATCTTGTCCTTTTTTTTTTTTTACCTCAAGTGAAATGCAACTCAGATGTAGTTAAAAATTATGCAAATCAATTCCAAGTTAAAAGAACGAATCTTGACATTTCCATTTCCCTTGGATTTACAATGCTCAAATGCTATTCTTGAAATGTTTAGAGATGATCTGTAGCAATTCCTTCTCCAACTCAAAGCAGAACAGGCTGGAGCTTCTCATCACGTGTGTCAAATAGGATTTGGGAAAGATGATATCCTCTGTGTGCCTAATATGTTGGCTTTCCAGAACTCAGATACTACTCTCAGCAAACACTGCATTGAAAGTCATTATTTGTTCACAATAATAGTCATAATAGTGGAGAGTTTAACAAACATTAAGAACTTCTGTTTATCTGTTTCTATAGTTTTTGGGATGATCATCATGCATTTCACATTCCGCTGTGTGCCTAATATGATCACCGTGCACTTCACATTAATGGGCATTGTTTACTTGTTGAAATTACTCTTTCTAATGTTTTTTGCATCACAGGTATGATATCCAGACAGGGGTGCATGATCCATATGTAGATTGTGTCTCTGTTATGAGACTGTACAAGAGAATGCGTGCTCAAGATCATCAAGTTAAAGGAATTGGAACTCCAAATTCCCACAGCGGGTTTGACTCCTGGAAACCAGAGGAACTCGAGAACATGACCACAGAGGAGCTATACCAGATCTCAAAGTCAGACTACAGATGCTGGTGTTTGGATTTAGGGCCAACAGCAGAGCTTAACAATTGATCTTGAGTTTCTCATCTGTTGATCTTTGTGTGCCCTCGGTGGGATAATATTTTGCCATTCTAATAGGTAGGAATGACGTGATGTGCTAGGTATTTGAAGAAATTGTGTACAGTTTTTCAGGAATGCAAAGTGAATCTTATGCTGTATTATGCTGATAGTTGTCAATATACGTTTGCTTACCTTTCTTGAAATCTAAAGCAAACGGAGAGTTTTTTGATTTTTATCAACTGTGACACGAAAACTCACATGATCCTCCATCAACGTTCTGGTTATAGCATGAAATCAAACCACTAGGAGATGGAAGAGGAGTTCAATGTAATTGCCATGAACTTTGGAATGAGATTATTCTTGCTGAACCGCAACTGGAATGAGAATTATGCGAGGTGTTTGACAGAAATGCCATCAGCCCATCACCGTTGACCACTGACCATGTCGTGTTTGGTGCATTAAAAGGAAACCTTTCCAGAGGAAAAAGAATATGCATGCAGGGAAGGGAAAAAAAAACAGATTTTTGTATTCTATCCCTTCCTGGAAAAATGAAAATTAGGTCGTTAATAGCCAAGTCAAGCCTTTAAATAGGTAAGCTTAAACCTCAATTAGTCAATGAGTAAAGGTCAACTTCCCTTTTGCCCCTGTAGATTCATTAATGTTTCACTTCTGCTCTTATAGTTTAAATTTTTCAGTTTCACCCTTCTAATTTCCGAAAGGCTCCAACATTAAAATAGACTACTTTTTTTAAAATTTTTCTTTAGAATTTTTTAGGTTTTGTAGCATTTTTGAGAGATAATATATAGCATATTTGAGGGTTTGAGAGGAAGAGAATAAGAGAAAGACATGAAAAAAAAGGCTCCTTGACTATAAGGACAACATAAGGAAATTTCAAACCATGAGAAGGAAATTTCAAACCAGGAGGGCAAAAGTAGAGCATGCGTGAATCCATGACGACAAAAATAATAATTTATCCTCTTTGTTTTTTTTTTTTTAAAAAAAATCTTTCATGGTAGTTCACATATGGTCAAAAGAGAGGCATATTTTTTATATTTTTGAGAATCAAAGGAGGCATAATAAAAAAATAAATAAAATAAAATAAAAGGAGTTATCATAGCTAAATTCTAAAAAACATAAAAAGAAAAAGAAAAAGAAAAAGAAAAAGACATATTTCATATTCTTGATCTGCCTATATATATTATTAAAAATTCAAGTGAAAACCCCCAAACTTGGAGTAGCCTGATGCCCGCCTCTTAGAGCCTACATACTCGACTTTCTCTCTCTTTCTTCTTTTTCTCTCTCCCAGCAGCAGAGTCCAGACCAACGCCAACAGTGAATTCCAAATCGAAATTCCAATCCAGATCACAAAAAGAAAATAAAGACAAAACGCTCTATTTCTCTCGATTTTCTCCTTCTTTCTTGTTTTTCTTTTTCTTTTCTCTGTTTACGATGAAGAAAATAATCGACTAGATCTTTGTTTTTGAAAGAACGGAAAAGAAATTGATTTGAGTAGATATGGCGGCGAGTAGTACTGTATGGGACTCGGTTCTTGAAATCACCAAGTCAGCTCAGTTCAAGAACAGTGAACCGCAACTATGGGCGATTCAACTCAGCTCCAGTCTCAACTCTGCAGGCGTTGATTTGCCGTCAATGGAGCTGGCTCACCTATTGGTTTCTCATATCTGCTTTGACAATCACGTGCCTATCACGTGGAAGTTCCTCGAGAAGGCTCTCTCTTTCAACATCGTCCCTCCCTTGCTTGTCCTCGGTCTTCTCTCTACCAGGCAGGCCATCACCTTCAGTAATATTATCTTGATTTTACGCTGAAAGGATTTTGTTTTATTCTGTTTTTAATGTGATCAACAGGGTTGTTCCGAATCGACAGCTCCACCCAGCAGCATATAGGCTGTATATGGAACTCGTTAAGAGACATGCCTTTTCTTTTTCAGCTTTAATCACTGCCCCAAATTACCAAATGTGAGTTTTTTGTTTCTTTGTGTGTATAAATGTATTGTTGCTTATGGTGCTATGTAGTATATTAGTCTGATTTGTTTTTGTGGCTGGTTTTCTGTTGCTTGTTTGTGCTTTTTTTTGTACGATTCTGTAAATACTGACTTTTCTTTGAAACTTGGTATTGTTGGTTGGAATAGAGAGATAATAAGTCTTAAATTTTTACCTTATGCAGATTTTTTTTTTTTTTTGGATAAAAAAATAAATGTATTAATGAAAGAGAGACAATGATGAAATAGTAGGAGATTTAGTTATAATACGCTTCGTTGTTTGATTAAAGAGGATCGACTTCACACGCCATGCTTGGTTTTAATGTCATTTGGGTTAGAAAATGAAAGTTGGAACAGGAGTTGTTTCTAAATTATTCTCTTTCATAATGAGTTGGTTGACCTTGAGGATTGCCGTGGACTGTGGTAGTTTCAGTGTTAGCACGTGAAGTGGACCTGTAATGGCTCTTCAAGTGGTTTCCTAATACAAAATATATCTTTTATAAAACAGTAACGTAATGCAATGACGCTGCCACTATGGTGATCGGTTTTGCCTTCTTTTCCTCTGGTTACTAAGATGTTTAAGGTTGTCTCTTACCTGATGTCTTACAGAAACAGTTAGGAAAAAAATTGTAGTATTGCAATTGGTCTGTGCTTATGTTGTTAAACAGATGCTTCATTGATGCTCACTCTTGGACCCAGACTCTGAATGTAGTCACTTTGGATACTCTCTGGTCCTAACAATCCCGCCAATCGTGAATGCCTCATCTGTGGAATTAAAACTTGTCTTTTTTATTTTTTCTCTTTGACAGAATCTCTAGAAATAACTTTTGCATAAAGAATCTTTAATTGCCTACCTAACAACTAAAAAAATCATAACAGACTATCTTTATCTTGCCATTTAGTTGTTTTTTTTTTCTTTTTGGTTATGCTTCTATTATAAATATCAATTTCTTTGTGTTCCAATTACAGGATCATGAAATCAATAGATGATGTTGTTCATCTTTCCCAAATATTTGGCGTGCAATTGTGCGAACCTGGACTTCTTCTGGTTGAATTTGTCTTTTCAATTGTGTGGCAGTTACTTGATGCTTCCTTGGATGATGAAGGGTTGCTGGAACTAAGTTTGGAAAAGAATTCTAGATGGCTACCCAGACTGCAGGATATGGAAATAGATGGTCATGAGAACTTCAGTGAGAAGAGAAATGAGCAGCACGAGGGGTTGCACAAAGTGAATACTACAATGGCTATTGAGCTGATTGGAGAATTTCTAAAAAACAAAGTAACCTCAAGGATACTTTACCTGGCACGTCGAAACATGTAAGATATATGTTGTGTTATGATTAGTTTTGCTTGTGTTTTATAGGAAAATGTGAAATGGGCCATTAAAGTGGTTTGCCGTGCTCAATCTAAATGATGGCAGACCTGGTGTGGTCTAGTGAACTTTACTTTGGGGTGGTTGCTACTAGAAATTGGAGAAGTTTATTGAATGAAACACAATTAATAAAGATGTTCTCTTACCCTTTTAGGCCTTCACATTGGGGAGGTTTCATTGAGCGATTGCAACTGCTTGTAGTGAATTCTGCCGCTTTGAGGAACTCAAAACACATAACTCCAGATGCCTTTCTGCAGTTGACATCTGACACCCGCCGGGTTCTCTCTCGAGAGTGCAAAACAGTATCACAGCATGAGTTTCATGCAGTCATGTTTTCTGGGTCTCTCAAAGCTTCTGTTGGTCAATGCCATGGGGCAAGTCACTCTGCAGTCTGGCTACCTATTGATCTATTTTTAGAAGACGCTATGGATGGGTCACAAGTGACGACAACTAGTGCTGTAGAAAATCTTATCAGTACGAGTCATTTCTTGTATTATGCTGAAATCTTTGCTAACCTGTAGTGTTGCAGTTGATGAATGAAAATTTATTGTTCCAGTTTTATGTTGCAGGTTTGGTCAAAGCTCTGCAAGCAGTCAATCGTACCACTTGGCATGATACTTTTCTAGGCCTATGGATTGCAGTTTTACGGCTTGTTCAAAGGGTGGGAACTTGTGCTAACTTGATAAAGAAACTATGGGTGTCATGTGGAAAATTTTTCAGTTTTCTAGAAAACTTTTTGAACAAACAAAAACTGGAGAAAATAGACAAATTAAAAATGAAAATAGTCTTCTTGGAATAGTGCATTTTCAATTTTTTGAGTTTTCTAGAAAGCTCGAAAACTTGATTTAGTAGTTTTCCAGCTTTTCTACTTTGCAAAAAAAGGCCATGTTTGGTTCACCTGTTTCTTAATTTTTTTATCTCTTATTATTTCAAAAACGAGCAAAGCGAGTTTCTTCTTTTCTGTTTCAGAAAACTAGTAGTTAGTAAACTTCTTGTCTTATTTTTCCATGATCTAAAGAAGGAATTAAACGTGAAGTTGAGAACTACAAAAAAAAATTTTGAAATTAAACACACCCTAATATTTTTATGAGCCTGAATGTTGGATAGAAAACATTTGAGAAGAATAGAGAGAGGAAATAGAAAATTGTAAGAGGAAGAGAAGAAAAATTAAGGGAGGAACAAAACCAACCTATAAGAAGGGAGGCACATCTATAAATTTTATTTCACAACACGATAATGACTTAATATGGATAATAGATGTTTCATCTGTCTTAAATAAATGAATACGGATGAGAAAGAAAATAAAGATTCCCTAATTTTAGTTTCTTTTGATAATAGAAATTTACTTTTCATCATACTAGTCTAGTTGGAGAAACTTGGTCTTGAGCTTTGTAATGGTGAAGTACGAAATTTCTTGGATTAGTTTTCCATGGTTTTCTCACGTTCTAATCACCTTTCTCCTTCCAATTTGTATTGGCGTAGCACCATCATTCTCCTCAATCTCTCCAATGCTGGATATTAGTTCCCTTAACTTTGATCTATGGACAACAGCCAAATGTTTCCAACAATTGAGATTTTCAATTTTTCATATTTTTCTTGGATGGTGCCAAGAGTAGTTTTAAAGTTCCTCAATTTATTTTGCTTAAATAATAGTTCAATATCACTCCCTTTGTTATGAAAGTAGAGGAAGGTTTGAGGAATCAGTAGAGTACTAATTGTTATTCAGCTGTGAATATTTTCATATGTACTTCTTGCATAAACAATGATTTGGTATATTTCTGAACAAGCGCGTAAACTAGTGCTTCTGAAATGTGCAATATCTTTAAACATCAACCCAAATTAGAATATACATGGCAGAACTCCCTCAAGTATAAGATATAGCATGTGGTGAATAACAAAGAGGAAAAAAAAGGCTTAGGTTTGCATGACAATTGCAACTTTTTTCAAATAAAGTGGTCCAAGACAATTGCAACTTTTTCAATATACTAGCTTCAATGAGAGAATCACATGAAATCAATTTTCCAGAAGCATTGTTCTGTTTCTTCCAATGGAATTATACTTTTTCTTTCTTTGTTGGGTGAGAGGTGTATCAGCCTGCTTTTACTTCTATTGATTTATGCATCTTTCTAAGTACTTAACCTATTTGCAATCTTTCAGGAAAGGAATCCTAGTGAGGGTCCAATACCTCGCCTTGATACATGCTTGTCCATGTTATTGTCTATTACAACCCTTGTAGTGGCCAATCTTATTGAGGAAGAGGAAAGTGAATTGATTGATGAAACGGAACAGAGCCCTTCCAGTCAAAGAAAAGATAAGGAGGGGAAACGTCAGAAGGGTCTAATTTCTTCCCTGCAGCTATTGGGTGATTACGAGGGCTTGTTGACTCCGCCTCAGCCTGTTAGCTCAGTAGCTAATCAAGCTGCCGCAAAAGCTACTATGTTTATCTCAGGCCTCACTGTCAGCAATGGTTATAGCATGAGCATAAATGACATGCCAATCAACTGTTGTAAGTGATTACATTCTTTAACATTGCAGTTCATATTGTTGAAGATAGTGTTTGGTGCAGAAAAAATATAGTTCCAATAATGTTGCAGAACAGGTTCAAATTCCCCTGCCACCAAAATGTTATAATTTGAATCGGCAGCCTGATTTTTTATTTCTGTACTTTTTATAAAGTTCTCTTGTTGATGTGGGTTAAAAATAAAATAAAATTATATGAACTAAGTGAACCTTTCAGCTATTTTTTTTTTAATCAGTCCTCTCAATTGCTTTTCACTATTTCTTTTTCCTTACTTGCAGAATTTAGAGGGTCACAAAAACAACAAAAATATTACATTTTCTTTAATTTGAACTATTTTTCTTCATTAAGTTTTATAACAGGTCTTCCCAAAGTATGTTATCTATCTACTGCTCTTTTAGTTTTTTTCTTTTCTTTTTTTCTCTACCTGCTGGCTCTCAATGCCAGTCTTTATTGCCTATCTGTGGGGCTCTGAAATTTAGTCTTCTTTTCCTTTTTATTACTTTGCAGCTGGAAACTTGAGGCATCTGCTTGTTGAGGCTTGTATTGCAAGGAATATGTTGGACACATCAGCATATTTATGGCCAGGCTATGTGAATGCTCGTGCCAACCAAGTACCTAGGGGTCTTCCCAGTCAAACACCTGGCTGGTCATCATTGATGAACGGGTCACCTTTAACCACCCCAATGATAAACATTTTGGTTTCAACTCCAGCTTCCAGGTATGCTGCGCCAGTGGTATACCTTAATAATTAGTATTTTAATTCTTCGGTTTTTTTCTTTTTCTTTTTTTGGGCTTTACTGCATGCCTGATGAACATGATACAGTCCTATCACTATAATTGAAACAACAGTAGTTTCCTACCTTCTTTCCACAAGAAGACTCAACATTTTGCACAATGGATCAAATTAAATAATATAGATCATCATAATTTTTGTTCTTATTTGAAGATAGCACACTTTCCATTGGTTTTGTTTCTCATAAAAGCTCTGACATTGGATTCTGTTCCCAACTTGAGGTTTGAGGCTTTTTTCTTTTGCGCAAAATTGTGATCCTAGAAAGCTGCAGTGTTTTTGTATGTAATTATTGTTTTATTAACATTATTCATATTGTAAGGCGTTAAAATGTGAAGCAATGAACAGTAGTAAACTTGATCTAATCAGCTTCATAATTATTATGCTGTTATGCTAGTAGTCAGAAAAATTATAGTTGATTAGAAATTGAATCCTATGCACGGATAGCTGGAAGATGGGAATGTGTACGTTAGTCCTTACGTGATGTTTGTGTTCAGACCCCAGATTTTGGAGAATCAATATCACTATTTGTTGCTGTCTAAACTTAGTAATAAGCATGTAGAAATTAGCTCTTGATGTAATGATTTTTATTTTTTTTTCCCTACTGGTGATGCTATTCTGTGAATGCCTGAAAACAGGCTGGTTCAAGATGTGCTTTGTGTTTTGAGTGTTGTTATGTTGTCAAATCCTATATTGGAGGTTTGCAGTTTGCCATGTCTTGTATAGGATTAAGTTGAGAGCTTTTATGATTTACCAATTATCCTCCTTCATAATGTCGTTATTACACACAAGGAAAGATTCAAACTGCTGTATGTGTATATGATGAAGGTCATAGCTGTATTGCTCAAATGCTACTTTAATTTCCTAACCTGGTCTTCAGTTATGTCATTCTTTTTCCTGAAGCCAGGCATGTCAGATGCTCTTTTTTTGTGTATATTTACCCAGTGGTATGGCAACTGAATTTAAGATGGATTTGATGGAAGCTTACCAGAGGTCGAGAAAATATATGAGATTGCAGTCAACGGTTCTGATGATGAGAAGATATCTGCTGCTGCTATTCTTTGTGGAGCCTCTCTTGTTCGTGGTTGGAATATACAGGTAATGCTTCGGAAGCCCATCCCTGCTGCAGCCCCTTCTCCAGTTGAAGTTATTAATTATTTCTACTTCTGTTTACAGGAACATACAATTCTTTTCATTATAAAATTGCTGTCGCCTCCAGTTCCTGCTGATTACTCTGGGAGTGAGAGTCACTTGATAAATTATGCTCCACTTTTAAATGTTCTTCTTGTTGGAATAACATCTGTGGATTGCGTGCAGATTTTGTCCTTGCATGGTTTGGTGGGTTGATTTTTAACAACTTGTGTTTTTGTGTGTGTAATGCATGTCATTTGCTGTCTTTTTTCTTGTAAAGAAAATAAATTTATCAAGTTCTTGAAGAGGTCATCTAATAAAGAGTTTGTCAGTATGGAATATATTCCATAAAGGTTTCCAAGATTTTGTGAACTAATGAATCTGGATGCTGGTCGGAATGCATAGAAAAGAAAATTAATGCAAAAGTCTAACAGCAATAAAAGAAATTGATGCAAAAAGGTTAATAGATATTAAAGAGAAGAACCAAACTGTGAAAATAAATGGATAATTATAGTTCTTTATGTTACCTATGAACTGATGTTCGGAATCTATTGCCAGATTCCACTACTTGCTGGTGCATTGATGCCCATCTGTGAGGCCTTTGGCTCCGCTGTTCGCGAGGTCTCATGGACTCTTCCAACAGGGGAAGAACTTTCTTGTCATGCAGTGTTTTCTAATTCATTTACACTTCTGCTGAGATTGTGGAGATTTGATCATCCACCTATTGATCATGTGATGGGAGACATACCACCAGTGGGATCTCATCTAAGCCCTGAATACCTCCTACTTGTACGGAATTCCCTATTAGCTTCCTCTGGAACTTCAACTAGGCGTCAACTCAGACGTAGGAGATACTCCAAAATGATGAGTCTGTCTGTAGAACCCATATTCATGGATTCTTTCCCGAAGTTGAAACAATGGTACAGGCAGCATCTGGAATGTATTGCTTCTACCTTTTCCGGGCTTGTACATGGGACCCCTGTTCATCAGATTGTTGATGTGCTCCTCAATTTGATGTTCAGAAGGATAAATAGAGGTGTTCAGCCTTCGACTTCTACGACTTCTGGAAGTAGTCTTTCATCTGGCCCTGGTGCTGAAGATGTTCAAGCTAGACTTAAAATACCCGCATGGGATATCTTAGAAGCAACTCCATTTGCACTTGATGCTGCTCTGACAGCCTGTGCCCATGGAAGACTCTCTCCCCGTGAACTGGCTACAGGTTTACACAATTTGCTCAATGTTTCTTTCTGTCAAGTTAAGTCTATATGGTTTGAGACCAGTTGGCAAGCATTCGAGGAAGAAATTGGTGCCTTGAGAGAAAATATTGAAGGGATGTCTAGAGTGCTGTTTTGCTATATGTGATAGAAATAAATGTGAACCAAGTTTATGAGTAGGAGAGTTGAAGTTACTGAGATCTTAGAATGGTTAAACTTTAGCCCCATTCTGTTAAAACTTACACAATACTGTAGTCTCTGTGTGGCTATGGGGCATATCAGGGCAGAGGATAGTATAGAGGGATTAAAGTTTCACATTAACATAAATAATGAATTGAGTATATTGTTGGTTTAGACATGAAGAGGCTAAAGTTTAGTTGTACTAAAACTTCAGAGTGAAAATAAATTATCGCTAATTACTACATGCTCAATTCTAATCTGTCTATGCCTGCACTTTTTATGACAGGGCTTAAAGATCTTGCTGATTTTCTACCAGCATCTTTGGCCACCATTGTAAGCTACTTTTCAGCTGAAGTTACACGGGGCATATGGAAGCCAGCTTTTATGAATGGAACTGATTGGCCAAGTCCAGCTGCAAATTTATCCTCTGTTGAGCAACAGATAAAGAAAATACTGGCTGCCACTGGTGTTGATATCCCAAGCCTTTCTGTAGGTAATTGTTTGTCATACAGATTACAATTCCTCTTATTTATTTATTTATATTTATTTTCTATTTTTTGAAGGCTATGGAGGGTTTTCAGTTCTTCATAAATGAAAAATTTTCATGTACATTCCATTGAATGCATCGTCAGAACCAACCACGACGACTTGTATTTTGTAGATCAATAGCTATACTCTTACAGTTTTAGGTTTGGGATTTTGTCATCCTTTTGTTAGATGTCAACTGTCAAGACTATTTATGTGTTAGACCTATAGATCTTCAGATCATGATGAAGCAGGAAGAATGAGTATACAAGAGTTGTGTTTAAATTTTTATAGGGGAATTTAATTTCTTAGATAAACAAAATCCATTAACAAGGGCTCAAAACTTGTTCTTGCAGGGGCTACATCTCTGGCTACACTTCCTTTGCCATTAGCTGCCCTAGTAAGCCTCACAATTACTTATAAATTGGACAAAATGTCTGAAAGGTCCCTCACCCTGATTGGCCCAGCCGTGAATGCCCTTGCTGCTGGGTGCCCCTGGCCATGCATGCCCATTATAGCCTCTCTATGGGCCCAGAAGGTTAAGCGTTGGAGTGACTACCTTGTGTTCTCTGCTTCTCGTACTGTATTCCACCATAACAGTGATGCTGTAGTTCAGCTTCTGAAGAGCTGCTTCACGTCCACTCTTGGTTTGAACCTCCCTCACATTTCCAGCAATGGTGGTGTGGGTGCCCTTTTAGGTCACGGGTTTGGCTCCCACTTTTCTGGCGGGATCTCTCCTGTTGCCCCTGGAATTCTCTACTTGCGAGTGCATCGATCTGTAAGAGATGTCATGTTTATGACAGAAGAAATTCTCTCGCTCCTAATGCATTCTGTTAGAGATATTGCAAGTAGTGTGTTGCCTAGAGGGGCAATGGAGAAATTGAAGAAAAGCAAACATGGGATGCGATACGGGCAAGTTTCTCTTGCTGCAGCAATGGCACGTGTCAAGCTTGCAGCTTCACTTGGGGCTTCTTTAGTTTGGATATCTGGTGGATTAAGTTTGGTTCAATCTTTGATTAACGAAACCTTACCCTCTTGGTTTATATCAGTCCATGGGTCGGAGCAGGAAGGTGGAGAATCTGGAGGTATGGTTGCAATGCTAAGGGGTTATGCACTTGCGTACTTTGCAATTTTTTGTGGGACATTTGCATGGGGTGTGGACTCAGAATCAGCAGCATCAAAAAAACGGCCAATGGTGCTCAGAACCCACTTAGAATATCTAGCAAGTGCTCTAGAGGGGAAAATATCGCTTGGTTGTGATTGGGCTACCGCATGGGCATATGCATCTGGGTTTGTGTGCTTGATGGTGGCTTGCACACCCAAATGGGTGCTTGAGGTTGATGTGGCTGTATTGAAGAGGGTGAGCCAGGGGTTGAGGCAATGGAATGAGGAAGAACTGGCTGTGGCCTTGCTGGGACTGGGTGGAGTTGGTACAATGGGTGCAGCTGCTGAACTGATTATTGAAATTGGGCAGTGAATTTTGTTGGAAAGCATATATAGCTTGAACGCTAATTATAGCTTATTTTTGGTACCCTTCTTTCTGGTAGAGCTAGTGGCAAAGTGGGTTTCAGTTTAAGTTACTGACATATTTAGTTGTATTTCTCTGTAAAATCATAGCTCATGTATAAAATGCCTCCTTTTTTCGAACAGGTTCTATAAGAAATTAGGATTGATGCTGTTGTAGATTCGTGATAAGGGAAATTCCCCCTTTTTTGTTTAACTTGGTTTACTCTTGAAACCTCAGTCTATATTTATATACTTGTTTTGAATTTGTTATTTTAATTCTTTGTATTTTAGAAGTAGTAGTAATTTTCAAATCTAGAATTAATTTCTAACCTTAATTTGTCTTTTTGGATCTGGCTAATCTATTCGTTAGCCGAGTCATGACATTTTATCGAGCATATGTCTCTTTAACATTGTGTTACTCGTTCTACCAGCTTGGGGATGAGCCCTAATTTTTAATACAAAATGCTAATGCTATTTGCTCAAGTATTATATTAGATTTAACATGCAATGTTTACGAGTTTGTTTTTAGTATTTTATGTTGAATAATATGTAAGCATTTTTTTTGATAGACTTTAATATATTTTATAGGCGTGTTCGATTTTTTTTTAAGAACAAGATTGTATAGTAATAATTTCTTCAAAGCGTTTCTTTTTCCAAAAAAAAAAAAAAAAAAGGTTGTTTCGTACAAAGACTCCCTTTTTGATTTTTTTGTTGATGTGTTTAGTGTAAATAAGAAATATCGGGAGAGAATTTGAAAAGTAAAAAAAATATCAACATTCAAAAAGAAAAATACGTAAATATGGATATATAAACTATATGTCTATCTGTTTCTAGGTCAATCACTTGTACATTTTTCAATTTTTTATTTTTATTTTTTTTGGGCTTTGGGTTATTCTCTCTGAGTTGTTGAAACTTAAATCTATTTCATTTAAGGAAGCTACCGGATATACAATCACAAACATATATTTGCTTTTGATTCTTAATTTTCAAATACAATATCTTATCTAATAAACTTGTTTCTTTTTTTTTTTTTTTTTTGCCCTTTCGTACTCTCTTAGTTATTTTTAAAATCTAAAATGATACTTATCCATAAGTTGACCCAACTGAATCCAACCGTAACGTTTACCCAAATGTACATACAGGTAAACAGAGGACCTAAACAACCAAAAGAGGAAAGTATAAGGATTGATATGTTTAATATTTTAGTAGATCGATTCAAAAGATTAAAATCAGAAGTTTGAGCGAGCACGTCTAATTTTACGGTCTCTCTCTCTCTCTTTGCCCTTTTGAGCTCAGCTTAGTGAGTCTGATTCTGACAGAAGGATGGAGGCAAAGGTGTTACCGCTAACATGCACGCCTCTCTTTCCATCTATTCCGTTTCAAGCTAATATCCGCTCTGTCCACTTCAAGCCCAGAAGCTTAAGCTGCTCCGCAGGTTAGTTGTGAACTTCCTAGCTTCTGCTCCAGCTTTTTTATTTTTTTAAGGTTACAAGTTTTGATGTAGTTTCTTTATTGTAATAACAATGAAAAGCTATGAGAAAGAGCACAGCCAAGACCAAAGAAGGAGAAGAGAAACTTCTTGAAGGAATGCCAAAGGAGTATTACGATGATGTATGTAAATTTTTATCCTCCCAATTTGATAATTTCCTGATATGGGTCAATTGGTTTTGGGACATAAGGATGAAATTTTGGTGATTAACAAGTTAAGTGGGTAGGAATGGCAAGCCCAACAACGAGAGAAGAGTAAGGAGTTGGAAAGGCTACGTCAACAAGAAGATGATGAAGAAAAAAGGATGGTTGAAAACTATCGTGAAATTGGTATACGGTTGAAGGGGTATCCTGAGGAAGATGTTAAAAAGGCAAAGAAACTGGTTTCAAGCTTTATCAGAGCTGAAGAAGAAGTAGAAGAGGTAACTAGAAACCATCCGTGTACATTTCTTTGAGTGATAGTGTACTTGTTGGTAGTTAATGTTTGATGGCTGTTGCTTAAATTGATTTGGTGCAGAAAATTGAGGAAGCTGCTGAGAAAGGAGAACTCACTGAACTTGTTCTAATGGTTATATGGAATCGCCTTGATCTTGCTCGGCGTGATGTAAGTGGTTATATACTATTTATCGTATTTCTTTGGCTCATTATCTTTTTGTGTAAAGAGTGGCCTTTCATCTGCCTTAATGAATGGTGTATTCGTTACAATTAGAAACTGAATGCTAGCAATATAAGCCTCTGTGTGTGTGTGATTAATGTTGATACAGTTATTGATCTTCTTTTCTAGGAAGAAAAGGATGCTATTCGAAGTCTAGATCTTTTGTACAGGAGAATTGAGGTATGCAATTTTTCTTGTAGCTTGTAATAGCTGAAAGGGATTTGTTCCAATTTGGAATTGTGCAAATGATGTTTTAATTTTTAAAATTTCCATAGAAATACTTCAGAAAAAATTGCTACAGGTCAATCAACACCTATGCAATCAACTCCTTAGTGGGCAAGATTTTCTACAAAGGAAATTGCAAAATAAGCTTTTCAGTAGATCACCTGCATAATTGCTCTGTCTATAAATGCAGCACACTTCCAGCTCCCTTTAACTGGGAGTTTTAACCTTCTCATACCATAGTTTTTTTTTTTTTCGAATTTCTGGCATTCTTATTTACCTAAAAGAATCACACAAGACATTTTAGACAGAGATTTTGAAACGAGAGGCGACTCCTTCCATGAGACTGCTCAATGATCTTTTGAATATGCACGATGGTTTCAATGATGATGAGTGGATAAAAGAATGCAGAAAAGGCATGATTGACACCTTTCCACGGGAGGACCCATTTAGCATTCTTGTTCCACCTGGGTTTGACATTGATCAGGTATTCAACAAATCATGCAAATTGCATGAATTAAGATTTTGCATTAGTCCATGATTGACACAGCTAGCACATATATTTTTTTCCCCCGATAGATATTCATTGATTTAGAAATGCACATGATTGTTCCGTTTCAAACAAATTATATTAAACAGCCAGGTTTCTCTTGCCATCAGCATGCAGGGCCAGTAAGACCACCACTAGAAGCCGATGATATTCTCTTGAGGGTAGATTTTGTAAGAGAGGTTGATGCTTTGCTCCAAGAGGTTCGGCAAGAACAAAGTGAAGAACAGAATGTAGAAGGGCTTGATCCTGAATCTGTTGCAAGCAAACTGAAGCAACAAGAGAAGCAACGAACAATACACAAAGTAGAAGCCCTGCTAGATCTGGCCATTAATTTAAAATGGTAGCCACAAACTTGGTTGTTTTCTGAAAAGATTTGGGAAAAGAAAAATGACTAGACCTTCTGCCTATTGGGTTGCGTCTACCTCTCAACAAGTAACTTTTCTGTGATAAAGAGTTCCATAGTCAAGGAACTTAGAGCAGAATTTGTATCCATGAGTTGATGTAACTTTCATGAAATAATAGTTCTATTTGAACTATATGAAAATTTGTTAGCAAACCTTGTATATGCATAGCCATTCATTTGGAGTTCAATATACACGATGGTAGGGATTCTTTCTGAGAATCGCAGCTTTATCCTGCCCTTCAATTAACCATATTGAGCTTTGCTGTATTAATGTTCTACGTAATTTCCTGTAAAGTTACAGTTCTCAAGATAAGATTCAATTGGCTTGCAAAACATCAAACTTGCTCTTAGCTTCTTGGCTTCACTGCTTTCAAATAAAACAAATGGTGAGTGCTAATGGATTTGCAGGAACATGCAGTTGTAGCTTGAGGGTTGCCATACTTAGATTAATTAAAGGTAAAAAGAAATACATATAATATTTTCATCAAAGAAACTAAAAGTATACACTCGCTGTGCTGGATTGACATCCCTATTTTCCACATTTCAATCCCATATAGAATCACTCTACAACAAACGAGCACTGATCCTATACTTGCAAATGTTTGCGTGTTGAAGAAAATGATGAGGAGATGTTGGCTTCAAGTAGAATGCAGCAGTGAGATTTCATTTCATAAGTCTGCTGAATGACAGGCTCACCATCATTTGAGAAGAACCCAGGGAATGGAAGAGCTGTATCAACCAAGCGATGCCATGTGATCCCTCCAAGGGCTTTAGGTAGAGTGACACTCTCTGAATGGCCTGCTGCATTGAAAGCAATGAACATGTCTCCCTCTACATGGGAAGATTCAGAGCTCAATCCGCTCTCTGGTCTGTCAACCTTCAATGTCATGGAAAGGAACTTGCAGGATGGATCCTCCCATCTTGGTGGATTCTGGTCACTTCCATGCCAGACAATATTTTCTTCCTTCAAAAGCTCCTCTTCTGAAGGAGGTCACTTCGCCTCATTCTCAACGAACTCAAAAATGAGATGAACTGTGTAGTTTGGATACCAAAACCCGTTGATAGTGCATTCCAATCAAAAGGTTTTCTGTTACCATATGAAGTGGAACCCCCAGAAGATTGGCCGCACTCATCTCCCATGTTAAGAACAGGAACACCTTGTGAAACAAATAAAAAAAGAGATAGTTACGGATTTGTTTAAGTCGTTTTTCAAGGATAGTGGTTTTGTTTGTGGGTCCTTCTTCTCCACAATTCCAGCTTAATTCTGAAGCTAACGCATTGCCACTGAAGCTGACCAAGTCCACAAGAGGAAGTCCAAAGTTCCTGGAGACAAAATTGAAAGAGAAAGCTGGGCCTCGTCCACTCGAAAAGATGTCCCCACTCCCACAAAGCCGTGTTGCAAGGTCACTAAGAAGACCCTCGCCCCTCAAAAAATTTCTTACATCCCGACAAAATTTTGTATTTATTTCAGCCCATCTCTTCCAATGAGGAAAGGCTGTTTCCTTTGGCTGCAGGCCTTTGGGATCCCAACAATCTGCAATGATCTTCGTCTTTGAGAGCAATGGATCAAAGGCTATTGCTTCAACCAAAGGAGGACGAGACAAATATTCACCATCAAACGACCTCAACAGAGATGAAGCATTTATGAAACAAAAGCCATCTATGTGAAACTCAGTAACCCAGTGCTGAAGGCTATCTAAAATCATCCTTTGGACAATAGGATAATTACAGTTCAAAGCATTTTGTGATTCCAAATCCATAGCACTGCTGTTGTAATAGTAGGATGCGTCATCAATTCCTTGTAATGCTCCAGCTTCAGAGGTATGGGTGAAAACAACTTCCAGCAAAACTTCTATCCCATTGGCATGCAATTTCTTAACCATCTCTTTCATTGAGCTAATGGCAGCATCGGAGCCACTGGAAGGGCCACAAAGGTTTGATGGTGAAAAGAAATGACAAGGAAAGTACGGCCCCTTTTGCTCATCGAAAGGAAATATCGGCTCTAATAGCACAGCATTCACACCAAGATCTTTAAAATGACTCAACTTCTCAGTCAAACCAGCAAAGGTCCCTGCAACATCACTGGATATCTGACTAGAGTTGCCTCCTGTAAAACGCATCACATTCACCTTATAAACAACTAGTTTCTCCATTGCCAAGTTAGGACGAACATCATCATTCCACTCGAAAGCAGGTTCTTTGCATAATCGTCCCAGATACTTGGGCAGCAGGCCAGATGCATCACATGTGACAGAATTAATGATAATTTTAGCATATGGATCCAAAAGAACACATTCTGCATCAAATTTATCTGTGTCGCCCTGAAGAACAGCTCCTTTACATCGATAGCCATAGCTCAGAAAAGTCCATGCACCTTCCAGTGAGGCATGCCAGATATCACCAGATCGATTAACAAATGGATCTAGATCAAGCTCTAAGGCAGGCTTTCCTGATGTACTATCATCATACAAGCAGAGAACACAACCTGCTGCACTTCTTGAAAAAAAGCAAAATTCATGGAACCATCAGTAGAAAAGGAAAGACCCAGTGGAGCTGGATAACCAGGACCAAATCCAACTGGAACACAAAAATTTGCCTTGTTGTGGTTCCTGATTTCTGCATCACTTGACGTAAGTTTGAGCAAAAATGAGAGATAGAAGGGACTTTGTTTAGCTTCAAACTCCAACTCAAGCACAAACCTACTAACAGAATTCTGTATGAATGGGGTCTGTTTGGTCCTGGCATCAGAGGATGAATAGAGAGGCATGAAAGATGACGAATCAGACGTGTATATGCCCCAAATAAGCATCAGCCTGATATTATCACTAGCACCCAATTCCAAGGATGAAACTTCAACATAAACTGCATATTTCCCATTTATCTTTCTAACAGAAACTTTGACGTGACCGCCAATTTCCGACCGAAATAGATAAGTTGATACTTTCTTTAGTTGGTCAACTAATGGACTGCTTGAAGTAAACATAATCTGTTCAGTTGGCTGAGCAGAAACTCTTGATCTAGCAAACAACACTCTTGAACCCTTCTCCATATCCATCCTCTCAAACCCTTTTATGGGTGTGGCTTTCTTGCTTTTACAGACATAACGAATCAGTTTAGATGATTCCATGGATCCACAGTTACAGAAGCACGATGGAGTTATCGCAAGTAAGAGAGAACGAGTTGTCATGTCTCCTCTAAAAACCAAAAACCGTTGCTTTCCTACTGATAGGAAACTAATCCAGATTAACAAAAACTAGAATAATAATAATCGTAGTGACAAGAAATTAACAAAAGAGATGCATCTCATAATATGTTGTTTAGATCAGATAAATTCAGTTGAAAATTCAATGCATCAAAAGCCAATTTCAGAAAGAAGTTGAAACCCATAATCAGAAAATAAACAGAAAAAGAAATGGAGAGGAATTGAGCTTACATTAATTTATAAATTCTCCATAGAAATGATAGATACCAGAGAGAAGAGTGTCTGAACTGAGTGAAGTTGTCTTCAATGATGAAAGAGATACATGTCTGTATTTTATACGTTCCTTTTGTTTCTCTGCTTACGTAATCAAACTTTAAGGACCGCAAAGTTTTTTTTATTATTATTATTTAACAGTAAGAGTATTTTTAACCGAATTTAAAAATTCTTTTGATATTGGTCCAGAAAGTTTAAATCCAAAAAGGCAAGGAAATGAGCAAGCCTCCTCAGATACTAGGTAGGCCAATCTCTTAGTGTTAAGGATGGTAAAGTGCTAACGACGGCAGCCATCTTCGGATAGAATAGGTTAGTTAATTTACGTAAATTTTAAAGATGAGAGACTGATTCTTGATTTGAGATATATATCAGGTACTAATTTGCAGCTATCCCTTTTATTTAAAATACAATATAATAATAATTTTGGTAGGTCACGTGTTCTGCTCTCCAATCTAACTCTAAGCTCAACACCTCATCCTACCCCCCACCCCCCCCCCCCCACCACTAAGCGCACGTTAGCCCACTTTCCCCGTACTAAAATTAAAACCTACAATCTACTTTCGAAGCGCACTATAGCCTCCTCCTGTTCCTCCTTCTGCTCACCAAATCATCTCTCTCTTCCCCCATCACAACAAACACAAAAAAGAAAGAGAGAAAAAACAAAAGAAAACTCCCAAATCCAAAGAATTAGGGTTTCTACATAAATAAAATTAATTAATTAAATACACCGAGTTAAACCAGCAACTCGCTCTCTCTTTCTGTGTGTTTTTCAATGCCTGTTAATTGCTTGTTGAAATCGTGGCTTGGAAACCCTAGACAGTGCCAGAGTGGTCCTCTTTGCGGCCGATTTTGGCATATCTAATTTGATTTGAGAGATGGCGCCTAGTCGCAGGAAAGGGGCTGCCGGCAAAGCAGCTGCTGCGGCCGCCGCACGCCGCCAATGGAAGGTGGGCGATCTCGTCCTTGCCAAAGTCAAAGGCTTCCCTGCTTGGCCTGCCACCGTATGTACCTCTCTTTATTTTTGGTTGCATGTTACTTTATTTTCCGATGCTGTGTTTGCCACTTTGATTTTTTTGTGCGCAAGCTAAGCATCACTTGCTTATTAAGTGCGGTTGTTGCTGATGCCAGGTAAGTGAACCGGAGAAGTGGGGCTATCCGAATCCAGCTGATTGGAAGAAAATACTCGTCTACTTCTTTGGAACCCAACAAATGTGAGTGAATACTGCAGATATTTCTTATCCAATATTATCTTTTCTTTCTTTCTTTCTTTCTTTTTTTTTACCCTGATGCTTATGGGCTTTTTGTTTTGGTTATCCATCATCTTGTGTTTATGGAAGTTGATTTTGCGATTTGGTATGATTTTATTAAGGCAATTAGTTTAGTTTAATCTCATTTTTTGTTTAATGCAATTTTTATTTATTTTTTATTTTGTAATTTATGGTCATTTACTGGAGTTCTAGTACAAAGGAAGATGTTTATCTGGACTCTAGATTCAAGGTACTTAGATATTAAAGGAGACTTAGAAGGGGGTAACAAGAATGCTTGTGTTTTATAATTAAAAGTTCTCCACTTGCCTAGATGTTTAATGTGAATAATTTTGTTCTGACTGTCAACAATGATACGAAAGTATGTGGAAAATTTATCTTGAAGGTTTTTCTTTTTTGTCCATATTATAATGTTTATGCTATGAGGGTATTTTACCTTTTCTATGTTAGGTAACTTACTTTTGAGTAAATATTTTCTCTTTTCCAAAAGGAGATCGCAATCACTTGCATCATTTTGACTTAGTATATTTGAAATCATGTGGAGAACAATAGGCCTTTCTAGCATGTTTCAATGTTCAGAAAGTTTTTTTTTCCTGTATAAACTCTTGGTTTGAGTTGTCATAACCCAGAAGCGATACACAGTGTTTCCTTGGAAGCTTGGTTGAAGTGTTAAACTCTGTTACTATATGGAAAGGGATGATGTTGGCTGAAGTGATGCTAATTCTTTTTCCCTTCACTATTGAATAAATTATCAAGGCCATTGCATATAGTCACAATTAATTTCTGGTAGTCTTTTTTTATATTTGTCAAATGTGGTTTTAGGTTTCCCTTTTTTTTTAATTGATAAATAAAACCATTCTAAAAGAGGACCTAAAAATTGAGAAAACAACCTCATTTACATGAAATTGAATATACAACATCTTCAACCCCACACCATAGCCTTTTGCTTTACATGAAAGGATCATCCTTTCATCCAAATTGACTTGAATGATTGTGACGAAGCAACTGGTACGTAACTGGGGGGAGTAGTTGGGCTTCTTATTCTTATATATCACATGCATACTTGTAGATATTTATATACATGTGCCGTATCTCCACTTTTCTTCTGATTATGGAAGCTCTTAGTAGGATGCTAGTTAAAGCAATAAGGGGAGGTTGTTAATGGTTTTAGCTTGTGTAGAGAGGTAGACTGTCTTGGCATCTTTTCCTTTGCTGATGGTACTGTAGTCTTCTTTGCTCAAAAAAGCCATTGTATCACTTTAAAGGAGGGTTTACTGTCATAAGGGTGAACTCTGAAACCTCCCTATTCATTCCATGTTTAATTTCCATTTTTGTGTTCTAGTTCTTATGAACTAAAGGATGTTGGTGAAGGGTTTTTGGGAAGATACAGGGGAGAATTTCTTTTACGATTGTTAATGGACTGGAAGCTTAAGGTTGATGGTTTATTCTACTTTGCGTTTCTATTATGTTGTGGCAAATCAGTTGATCCAGTGTTCATGTTTAGATAGGTGGTGTTTTTGTAGAAGCGAAAATGATCAGTGGGTTGTATACCTTTTGCTCTATGGGGTTCGTCATAGGAGTGGAGCGAAAGAGAATTGGATGTGAAAGAATTTGCTGTCAACCTTAGAAGAGTTTCCCTTGATATTATACACTTGAGTTTTGGCATGTTAGAAAACTTTTTGCTAGTGAAGATGAGTCCCAGTGTTTTAAACCAACTATGATGTGTAGTCAATGAACTTCATTGTTTCTTTTGTTTCTGTAAACATCTTCCTCCACCAAAATTACTAAGTTTTAACCTCAACTATAATGTAGAACAACAAGTGAGAGTGATTTGGGTACTGTTCCTGAAGTCTATGAACAGTTTTGTTGGCCTAATTAGGGTTTAATTGTAGAGATATAAATAAAGGAAGAGTAGGAATCCTAAACTTCACATCTAGGCTCCTAAGGAATCTTGGCTAAGGTTGATTGCATTACACAATAAAATAAAAAATAAAAAATAAAAAACCCAAAGAGAAAAAACATTGATTGCTGGAAAATTATTTGAAAAATACTGCCACATTAAAAGACTAGATCACCATCTGTAGAACTAGAGGTCTTAGTATCCTTCTCTAATGGGGACTCAAGACTCCTAATTCAACAAAGCATAGCTAGTCCTATGTAACAAGGAAAAAGATGAAAAAAAACCTACCTTGTTAAGGACTAATAACAAGACATTTGCATACAAAATAGAATCCTTGTCCCAACCAATTTCCTGCTGATTACTGAAATAACCTTGACCTGTAAAATAAATCAAACGCACAAATGCTAATCTTTTTGTTGGCTTCTTCAAATCAAATATGCAACTCCCTGCCATTAAAAAATAGTTATAGGTATTAAGAGAACACTTCCTTTATTAGGGAAACAAGTCTCTTTCAATTGATCTTGGTCCTACCCGACAAATCCTTAATATTGAGAAGGCATGTTTGCGTAGCTCTAGTTTAATTGTAACACAAAAGCATGTGGCGAACTGATTTAGCGAGTTTTTGACCAATTAAACTTCTGTTGACAAAAGATATTACATTTGTAGATATTGTTAATAGTCAAATTCTTTCCCATGGAAAAAGCAATATCGGAAGGTGCACTTATCTTTTGAATATGCTTCTTGCTGGTTTAAATATCCTTCAGCTCTTCTATTACAAGCATCTTATGTAAAAATCTATCACAAAGCATCCCCTTCTAGATGGCTTTTTAAGATCTTGATCCTCGCCGTCAACTTTACAATTTCATTGTGAACAGTGCCAAAAAAGAGTAACCAAAGATTCCACTCCCAATTCTTGCCACTTTCAACATTAGACATAAATCGGGCTTGAAATGCTCCTGCCCTTTCTTGTAAGACTTCTACTCTTAATAAGACTGTCTCAACTCCTTTGAAATCCAGCTGTTGTGATCCTCCTTACGTTTGGCTGCATTGAAGTCTGGCAGTTTTGGAGCCATGTCCCCAACAGAAAATGTGGTTCATTGGCAGGGTTTAGGTGTAGGGCTATGAACTGCCATATCAGTTGATTCCATAATTAAGGATTGTTGAGGCTTGATCTATGTCCCTGGTTATGATGTTTGGTCTATTGGGAGATTTTGGGTCATATTCTCTCTCTGTCATTTGCTATTGGTGATTGTTCTTTGATTTCCCCAGTTTCTTTTTTGGGAGTTTTCTAGTGTAATTGGTTTTGATGGGGACAAACCTTAGAAGGTAGACTTACAATGGTGATTTTGACAATTTACCTATGCAGTTTTCCATCTTTGTGAATGCCTAATTCTGTATGGTGTAAGCTTTGTTTATAGTCTTTCTTCTCTCTTTTAGCTCGTTCCTAGCATATCATAGATAATTGCTTTTGATGAGAGATTTCCTATAATTTTTAACGATGGTTAAGTAGTTATCATTAAAGTGATTCCTTGCATATTTGATTTATAGGTAATCAATTTTGTCGAGAGAATTTTAATTGATGGTTTCACAGTTATCACCAGAGTGATTCTTTGGTTATTTGGTTTTTAAATTTTCAATAATGTATAATTGCCATGTCGCAACTCTTGTCTAAATGGTCTTGTTTTCTTTTCTTCCTTTTGCTTTGTTGAGGTTTCAGATGGTATGTCTCTCTGTAGTCTGTCTGCATCCCATTTCTTTTTTGACATGTTCTATGCTATTTTCATTTTTAAAGGTATCCTTTAGATTTTGAAGCACACTGGAATCTGGGTGGTGGAGAAAAATGTTGTTGGAAAGTCTATTTTACCTGTACAAAATCAGTGTCTTGAGTATCTAAGTAGAAGCCAGGGGTACCTTTTTAATTTTCCCTTTTCTTATCAACCTTTGTGGTTAAAAGGAAGCAGGAGAAATAAACAGAAAGTCAACAGTAATGTGTTTTTTTTTTTTTTTCCTTCTGAAATTGCTGTTCTTATAGGGAAAGAGCCCTTGTGGTGTAGGACATTTTTTGGATTAGTGTCCTACAGAGGATTTATGGTGAGCTATGTGATGTTGGAGAATTAGGGATTTTAGAGGTGAATTAGGGTTAGGGTTTGATGTATGTGGAATTGCGATTGATTAAGGATGTGTTTTTCAGTGGAATTGAGATTCTTACTATGGTTGTGAATGGTAATCCGAGATTACTGTAGCAAGAAGAAATAGAAGGACTGAAGGAGAGGAGGAAGAAACTAATCACAAGCACAGCCCATTAACTAAATCAAATACTCATAATTCTATCATTCAAAGTCCTTTTACAGGCACCAGAACCCTAGTAGTCTTAAACTAAAGAGGCAGGAATAAAACAAGCATGAATAAAAAACTCCATGTTAATATCCTAGATCGTAAATAAACTTAAATATATAGGTGCTCCTTTTACAGGCACCAGAACCCTAGTAGTCTTAAACTAAATTGGCAGAAATATAACAATCGTGAATAAAAACTCTATATTAATATCCTAGATTGTAAATAAACTAAGATTCGCAAATAGATTAGCTTTACAGGAAATATCAAAATATATGTAATCAAGGTTTCAATAACCATAATTTCTGAACTTCTCTATCTTTGACTGCATCACCTTGCATACAAATCTAAATACATGATTGTACATGTGCCTGTGAATTAGTTAAAATATCAGCATTTAGGTTTCATGCCATAAGATATTGCATTTTGCTTGTCTAACTTCCCTCTTGTACTTGAAATACAAATTATGGTTGTCTTTTTTTGATCTTTGAACTTGTATCTATCTTTGTCTAGGCTCATACTGCAGAATTTTTTCTCCTTTTTTTTTTTTTTTGGGTTTCATCCTTCCTTTCCGATATTCTTCTTGTTTGGGCTGACTTTAGCTAATTGTGTTATTGTTGACCCAAATGCTGTTCTTAAGAGCTTGATTAGAATGCAGTTAAGTAAGACATCTTTTGTTTGGATGAATATATTGTTATACAGAGCCTTCTGCAACCCTGCTGATGTTGAACCATTTACTGAAGAGAAGAAACAAACTCTGTTGATGAAACGTCAGGGGAGGGGTGCAGATTTTGTTCGTGCAGTGCAGGAGATCATTGATAGTTATGAGAAGTTACAGAAGCAGGACCGAGTTGATTTGAACTCTGGCGATGACCCTACTCATGCAAAATGTGGGAATTCATTAGAGTCTTCAGCCCACTTTGAGGTGAAGGATCAAAGAGAAACTTCAGAAGCAACTATTACAGGTAGAAATGATCCAAGTCTTCAAACTGATGATTCTTCTGCTGAAGCACAAATTGGTTCCTTGCATCACAAAGATATGTCATTGGACAAACCTGCTGATAATGTGGTGATTAGAGAAAAACCTATAATCACCACTTACACTTCAAGAAAAAGATCTGGAGGTTTACGATCTAGGAAACGCATCATGCAGGATAAGGCACCTTCAATTGAAAGGTCTAGAAGCTCTTCCCGGTTGGAGTCCAGTAGATTTCAAAACTTTATGATGCCACCAGATGATGGTAATAAGAGTTCAGGAGATATGTCAACTGATTGTATCCAGGACAGATCTTTGCGAAGCACTAGGCGAATCAAGAAATCACCAGATGATTCTGAATGGGACAATGCAGATTCATCTGCTTTTGTTTCTAATGGAAGCATCGAAGATAATGGTTCTGAAATTATCACAGCTGACTCTGATTCCTTTAGTTTGAATGATGCTAGCACTCTGGATAGTGGTTGTAGAATCGAGACCTGTGAAACTGTTGTTCAGTGTTTGGAGGGAGATGTTGAGTTGAGCAGAGGACTTGATTTCCAAATAAAGGCTGTTGTTATAAAGAAGAAAAGGAAACAAAACAGAAAGCGAGCAACTGAAGAAGTGGCTGAGCCAACAGTCGGACCAGAAACAGAGGCAGATGTGGATGTAGGATTGCAGGATAATAACCAAAATTCACAATTTGTGTGTGAAAATAATATAACGCAAATTAAAGAAGATGGGGATGAGCACTTGCCACTAGTGAAACGAGCCAGAGTTAGAATGGGCAAACAATCATCTTTGGAGGAGGAAAACAATAATTTTACTCAAGGTGAAGAGAGAACGTCATATGAAGTTGCCTTCAATGCAATGGAGGAAGACAATAGCTTTTGTCAACCTGAAGAAAGAACCTCTCTTGACATTGGAGTTAATTTATTGGAGCAGCTTAACTCTTCCTCAAATTGTAATGGTGATATTCCTGCTCATGGAGATTCATTGGTGGTGAGGGAAACTTTTAGTAATGTCTCACCCTTGAAGAATTGCTCTCCAATTCCAGCAGATAAGTCCCAGCTTTTGAGAGTTAAGGAAATCCAATCCTTTTGCTGCTCTGCCGATGGCGAAGCTGCTTTACCTCCATCTAAACGTCTCCATCGTGCTTTGGAAGCCATGTCAGCAAATGCTGCTGAAAAAGGTCAAGATTGTGTTGAAACATCCCCCGTGAAAACATTAGTCATTGGTAGTTCCATTTCTTCGACGAGGAGTACCTCAGATATGGTGACTGTAAGTAAAGAAAGCAATGGTTCAGAAGAGCAGAGTGTAGAATCTCCTGGCAATATGGTTTCTTTATTCTCGTCTGGCTCCAAGACAACTTTAGAAGAATCCAATAAATCGTCATTGGATGTCAAAATTTGCAATGAACCTGAAAGCTTCAAGGGTCAAGAACCTTGCAAAGATGTCTCTCCAGAGTCTACGGACCAAGGTGGTGGCAAAGATCTCAGTGGACTATGTTTTGAAACTGGCATTTTTTGTACTTCTACTCAAGCTCAAACGCCAGTGCATTTGATGCCTAATCTTGATAGAAGACAGGCTAGTCTGCTATCCCATCGTGGTTCATTAGGTCAGTTGTTGCTTCTAAAGGATGAAGGCAATTCTAATGACATTGAATTAAAAAATTTTGGGGCTGGAAATGCTAATAAAGAACTTCATACTTCTGAAGATTCTGGGATGAGTCCGAATCTTATCTCACAGGCTGATAATGCTGCTAAAGTGACCTCTCAAAGTGGTGCAAATCTCATTCAATTCAGTGCAGAGGAAGCTGGTTGTGAGGATTCCGAGACTGTGAGGTCTCAAATTGATTATGACAGCCAAGCTGATGGCATGTGAGTGTTATTGTCCTTTTGGTTCTGTGTTGTCTGTGTTGGTATGCTTATTCCTGTTACATTTCCAGTAATAACTAAGCATTTTCTTTTATCCTCTATCCAAAAAGTTATTTACCCCCTGGTATTAACATATGAGATTCCTTCACTGAAGACCTTGTCATTTTTTTTTTCAAATCATTTTGTGGAATGTATCTTTAGTCTTGTAATTTTCTGTCTTAGGTGTGAAGTGGCAAAAGATGTAATCTGTGATAAGAGACAGCAAGAAGCTAGTCATGTTTCTCTTTCTGAATATCATTTGGATGACAAGGATAGCTTGGCCCAATCAAGTCCACCTCCAGCTGATAGAGTAGAATGTCCTATGCAAATATCTACGCCTAACACTTCAGTCCATGTGTCTACTTCAGAAAGTGCTAATTTTATTCAAAACAGTGGCTCCTCTAGTCCTAATTCTCTTTCACATCCAAAGAAAATTGTGAGCACTTCAGTTTCTGATGAAGATAAAAATGAGTCAGCAGTGCCTCAAAGACCAAAATCAGTTGGAAAATGGAATAATTCTGCAGAAGCACACGCTGCTTTGTCATCCTTTGAAGCAATACTTGGATCATTAACAAGGACAAAAGAGAGCATTAGTCGAGCAACCCGGATGGCTATTGATTGTGCGAAGTTTGGTGTATCTGCTAAGGTATGTTGATGATGCTTAGCCATGTGATTTAAACTTTCTGTTTTAGCTCATTCTGTTAAGAGATTATGATATGCCAACTAAATAAAAGAAAATTGTAGTTCGGCGAAGAACTTACATTTTGCGTTCAGATTTCATACAAATTGGTTGGGGGTGGGGGGGGGGGGGACACAGAACGGTTCCTGACTTACCTGCTTCATTGATTCATCCGAGAATAAATTTGTAGATCAGTTGTGGAATTTCCATTGCAGTGCATCTTTGCAAACATTTCTGAAGTCAAGATGCAGGAAATATACATATATACTTATTTATGTGTGTGAGCATGTGGATAGTTGTTGATACAGGTACCTAGGTGAGTAATCTGTATGGTTGAGTTTTTTTTGCACATTTAGTTAGTATTAATGACATTTTTACTTGAGGCAAAACATACCAAGGCCCTTGTACTATTGGTCGAAGTGTAAAGAATTCCTGAACAAATTATTCAGCGCAAAAGTCCCTCAACAAACATGGGGCTAAAAATAAGTCCTGTTAAATGACATTAGGTTTCCATCCAATTTAGGTCAAGTAAAACCATGTGCCTAGCATGTGACACCCTAGCTCACTTAATGAAAAGACCCAATTTATGTTGAACAATTTGTTTAGGGACTATTTGCATTTGTGGGAATAGTAGAGGGGGACATGGTGCATTTCACCTTAACAAAATTGGATGAAAACCTAACATCACTCAACAAAAGGACTAATTTTAGCCCCAATTTTGTCTGGGGACCTTATTGTGCTGAATGATTTGTTCAGAGACTCTTTGCACTTTGATCAACAGCACAGGGGACTCTGGTACATTATACCCTTTTACTCATTTTCTGCACTTGCATTGAGTAAAGTTCATGCTAGAATCTGAATATTCTCTCTTTTCAGTGGAGATAAGGCTGTAGAAAGTTTATTCACATTTTTTTCATGACAATTTAGTTGGAATGGAAGTGTAAACATGTGCTCCATTTTTCTGATGTTCTTTTTGATATATTACTACTCTTTAAAACTTAGGTGATGGAGATTCTTGCTCGTAGTTTGGAAAGTGAGTCAAATTTACATAAAAGGGTGGATTTATTCTTTCTTGTGGATTCAATTGCGCAGTGCTCTCGAGGCTTAAAAGGTGAAGTGCTTGTTATTTTTGTAATTTTGAAGTTTTATGTCTCCGTGCTACATGTGATGTTGATCTTTAGTTCTAGTTCCATTTTCAGGCGATGTTGGTGGCATATATCCATCTGCTATTCAAACCATGCTGCCACGCCTACTTTCAGCTGCTGCTCCCCTGGAAGTTTTGCACATGAAAATCGGAGACAGTGCTTGAAGGCAAGCCTTGGAAACTTCCGGTGCATTTTTAATTTTGTCCTTGATTTTTTTTCTTTGTTCATGTGTTACCTTGTGATATTTATTTTATAGGTTTTGAGGCTTTGGCTAGAAAGAAGGATTCTTTCAGAATCCATCATTCGCCATCATATGCGGGAACTTGATTTGCTTGGGGGTACATCTTCTGCTGGCCTATATTCTCGTCGCTCAGCAAGAACAGAAAGATCTTTAGATGATCCTATCAGAGACATGGAGGGTATGCTTGTGGATGAATACGGAAGGTTTGAATCCCGTTAATATATCTTTTACTTGTAGAGTATTTCCCAAAATCTGTACAGCTGTTTTTATTGAGATGGTTCTTGTTGCCTCAGCAATTCAAGTTTCCAGCTTCCGGGATTTTGTATGCCCCGCATGCTTAAGGATGAAGATGATGGAAGTGATTCTGATGGAGGGTTTGAGGCTGTCACCCCGGAGCATTATTCTGAAGCCCCTGAATATCAAGAGATAACTCCTGCAGTAGAGAAGCATACACATATCTTGGAAGATGTTGACGGTGAGCTTGAAATGGAGGATGTGGCCCCCTCTTGTGAAGTTGAAATGAGTTCAACCAGTGGCATTGGTGGAGGCGATGCTGCACACAATTCACACAATCAGCTTGAACAGTGCTTATCACAGGTCTTCGCCCCTCCTCTGCCACAGGATGTGCCACCATCATCACCACCACTGCCATCTTCACCACCACCACCTCCTCCTGCCGCACCCCATTCATGTGCAATGCCAGATCCTTATACTAGCAATGTTGATTCAAATATTTATGCTAATTCACATGTATGTGCCCATAGTTGATCACATTTTCTTTCACATATTTGGTGTACTGTCAGTATTAGTATATAACAGGTGGAATGTATTAGGCTATGCTTTCATTTCTGATTCAGATCAAATTTGCAGAATTTGCAAGATGACTTGAGACAATCTGTGAGTCAGCATTCTGTTGCATCAAGAATCAACCCCTCAATGTCCAATGCAGTGCATTGTCATACACCAGAATGTAGAGATCAGATGGAGGTGCAACATTGTGACTCAACCAGCTCCTTTAGCAGTTATCCTGTACGTCAGTCGAATAATGCTCGTCGCTCTGATGGTCTTAACTTCCATCATAAGGCATATCCTCCAAGGCCTCAACACCCTCCTCCATCGAATCAGTTCTCTTATGTTCAGGCAAACCAACATGTGAAGTCTCGAAGAGGGATGCCACCCCCTTCCTACTCCCACAGATTCCACCCTTCACATAATTTTGATTGTGGAAACTTTTATAATAACCACGAAAGAATGAGACCTGGCCCATACGAGCTTAACGATGGCTGGAGATTTCCTGCAGCCCCCTTTCCTGGTATGTTTTGTATTTTATGAGAAAGATTGCACGAATTAATAGAAGCTTTGTTCTCTATGGTGGTATTAATTTTTGTCTTATTATCTGTCTTCCTTTGCTGTTTTCCCTACTCTAGGTCCAAGATATCCCGATAAAGCCAAAGCTTCTTATGCACCTGTTCCTTACGATGGCCCTCCACGGGAGCCAACTAGATTACCGCATCAAGAGTGGGATTTTCATGCCCAGGGGATGCATCACAGAAACTTCATGCCTTCTAGACCTCCTCCGGAATGTGCAATTCCAGTGGCAAATAGAGGTACATTATTTTTTCTTGAGATTTTGTCGAGTTTGAAAATAAAACCAATATTTGTGTTCATACACTCACTGACTTTCCCAGCGCTATTAGATTAATAGTAATTGGAATATCGTGTTCTTTTAAGAATCTATAGGGAAGTTCTCGTTAGTACAGGCTATAAGATATTTGTGTTGTGTTTCAGCTCCAAGCATTTGGCGGCCAAGATGAGAAATTATGATTGCAGTGTTGGGATTGGTATGTTACCATCTTGATCTGCTTTGTTTTGTAACTTTCTAGCGTATTATAAATGCTATCGTCTTACTGGTTTACACACTGCATTATATTTGTCAGGAAGGATCCCTTTTTTTTTTTTTTTCCTGTTTTCTTTTTGCGGCTTGTTCAAAAGGGTGAGTCTTATCTGGTTCATCTTCATATCTGCCCACGGATTCCTCTGGAAGAGGCCTTGTCACAGGTGATTGGGGTGCGACTTGCTGGATTGGGTTGTGTATATATGTATCTTGTCAACTTTTCTGCAAATGCAGAGAATGGCTTGACTTGACATTCATTAAGGGGGATATAGAAGCTGTAATTTACGCTAGGCTGTCTTGTATCAATTTCCAATTTTTCTTTTATTTTGTCAGTATAATTTATTTTTCAAAAGCCCTCATAGGCATTCCATATTACCTGGGCCATTTGTTAGAGCTTGCAACTTTTTTCTGGTATAAAGGAAAATTAGATCAACTTATTGGGGATTCCTATCTGGGTCCTGAAAGTCTCTCACTGTATATATATATATATATGGGAACGTTTTTCAGAAAGATGGTACCAGAAAATAATTTATGCCCGTTGATATGTAAACATTCTTAAGAAAGAGGAACAAACTAATTCATACACGTTTGATTTTCTAAATATTTGCATGTACACACTTTGTTTTATTTTATATTCTATCAATCATGGTTTTAAACAAGGGTCATAATCACAAATTGCAACCTAAGAAGAACCAGACCCACATCCAATTTCAGTGCTTAGCAAAAACAATTCAAATCCAATTAAACATTAATCTCAATAAGTAACCTATGGAAATAATATATTCAAAAAATAAGTTACAAACATGATATAAATAATTTGATTTAAAAATTCTCTCTTAATATATAACTTATGAAAAATAATATATTTAAAATATAAGTTACGAAAATGATAAGTAATTTGATTTAAAAATTATCTCTTAATTATAACGAAGCTCAGATGGTCACTTTCCAAACAAATAATTCGAGTATGCGTTCGATTTGGTTAAAAAATCAAGTTGAAGTTAGTGTGGTAGTGTGAAAGAGGTTGAGAGAGAGCTGGGTGACGAGAAAGAGTGGAGATCTGAGAGTTAGAGAGTACATATATATATATATATATATATATATATATATATGAGTGAGCACAAAAAAAATTTATTTATTTATTTATTTGAGCGTTGAGATCAGTGATTAAAAGTTAGAATTATTCGAATCAATAGAATCTCGGGAAAAAAAAAAAAAAAGCCAATAAAAGAAAGTAAAATTCAAACTATCGAACGCCTTGTTTTGAAAAAAAAAAACGAATATTATATTTAAAATAACAGTCCTTATTAAAAATATTTTTTTCAGAAAGACAACAACCTTTCGTACCTTGTCTCTCTCACAATCCATTTGTGTGTATTTAAGCAATGCAAAGATTTTTTTTTTCCTGTAACCAAAAAAAAAAAAAAAGAGTTGTTCGCTCCTCTATTTTTCTCTCTTTAATCTTGTGATGGGTTGTTGACTTGTTGGTGAAATAGTGAAAGCAATTAAAAAGTAGGGGTCCAGGGAGGAGGGGGATGATCTTCAATAGTCTTACGAGTTAAAGTACAGAACAAGTTGTCATTTTTATTTTTTATTTTTTATTTGTTTTGGAAAAAAAAAGAAAGAAAGAGATAGGAGAACTAAAAGTAGCATACAACTCCCAAGCTTTATCGTAAATCACTCCTGTCCTGTCCTGTCCTCACATTCTTCGGAGAGTCCCGCTGTTCTGCTTCCCGCATTATTACCGTACAAAACTCCAACACAATAAAAAGAAAGAGTCAAAAATACAAATTTGCTGTAATTATTTATCCATTCTCTAGTTTCACTTCATTCTTGCACACCAATAATCGATGGATGATATTGATAAGTTAACTTACCATAATAATAAATATTACCATTATTTATTTATATAAATATAGCATATAAAACAAAAAGATCCGAGGCAGAGAGACAGACAGACGGAGAGTGAAGAGGAATGGGGTCTTCTCCATCAGTACCCGAGAAATCTATCCATGAATTCACTGTCAAGGCAAAAAATATTCTGTTTATAGATGGATTGATTGATGGGCTTCTTTTATATTTTTTTAAAAAATTAATTTTTGATGTGAATTACTGTTACTTGCAGGATAGCAGAGGTCAGGACGTGAACCTTAGCATCTATAAAGGGAAGGTTCTTCTTGTGGTTAACGTCGCCTCTAAATGGTTTGTTTTTTTGTTTCTTTTTCTCGCTTTATTTTTCTTGGGAATTAGTACTTAAAACTTCAATTATTGATTTCTTTTCATTCTGGGTTTTTAACAGTGGATTTACAGATTCAAATTATACCCAGTTGACTGATCTTTATAACAAATACAAGGACAAAGGTTTGTGTTTCTAAATTACTATGTTTTAATCCAGAATTCAATCTTCTTATTATTGATTTATTGTGTGGGAAACTGTGATGCAAAGAATATGATACGATGTTATGTTATGTGATGCTGTCAGGTTTTGAAATCTTGGCGTTCCCATGCAATCAATTTATGAAGCAAGAGCCTGGGACAAGCGAGGATGCACAGAACTTTGCTTGTACCAGATACAAGGCTGAATATCCAATTTTCCAAAAGGTAGCGAATGGACTTGATTACCTTATGTTATCTCCAGAGAAATAGTTTACCAAATGTTCCATTTCGGCCCCCATAGTTGCTCCGTCCTTGTGTTAATCGCATTGATGCAATTGCCTTCCATCCATTTCAATTGCGAACAGGCCTAAATGGAGCCCCTCTTTTTATATATAATTTTCCAATTTCTTCCCAAAAGAAATTTTTTTGGGGCCAACATGGCTATTCATTTTCTCTCCCACAGGCCCCTATCCCCCTTAGCCAGCTTAGAGCATAAAGCTAACTCCTATTGCAATGTGAATTAGAAGGAAAATGCACCTTTGCTATAGGTGGCAAAGTAAAAAAATCCAAATTTTCTATTTTCTGTGCTGTCTTAGTCATCAAATTCACATATAATTTGGTGCCATGCTACTCCAATTTCTTTTAATGTGCATCAGAGCCCTTGTCTCTTCAATTGACAATCTGATAACACTGTAGATTTCTAAGGAAAAAAAGTTAAAACATTGTAAGAGTAGGGATAGAAAAATGAAATAAAGAAGTTGCCTTAGATTTATTGACTATTTAAATGGATAGGTTTTCATTGGGCCACTGTAAACAACATGGACTGAAGTGGAATTTATATAGGAGGCAAAAATATACTTTCCCACGTTTTTAGCTAGTGTTTGGACTTCAGATGCTGCATTCTGTTGCGACTCTGCTAATAGACAAAGATACTTAATGCTGTCTTGTGCTGCATTTGTAAATGGCACTTTCTGTCAGGAAATAAAGTGATGCAAGACAGTCTAGGTTTAGAGGCTGTTTAGGTCTGTATTGATGTGGATTTCTGCTGGGAGTTATAGAACTATTAGAGTCACACACTCAGGGTTCTTAGGAGTCACACCTAAAAGAGATTGAGTCATACAATTAACAACAAATTGCTTGAATTTTATTCATAAACTTCTATTCGTAATACCGAAAGACTACATACTTATTTGTAGAGTTCTAGTAGTCCAAATCCATTAAGGGCTCAGATTCCTGGAAAAACAAAAATACTAAGTCTATGTAGAATAGGAAATGGGGTTATGGGCTAAGCGGTGAATAGAAAAATGAAATAAGGAAGGTGCCTTAGATTTATTGACTATTTAAATGGATAGGTTTTCATTGGGCCACTGTAAACCACATGGACTGAAGTGGAATTTATATAGGAGGCAAAAATATACTTTCCCAATTTTTTAGCCAGTGTTTGGACTTCAGATGCTGCATTCTGTTGCTACTCTGTTAATGGACAAAGATACTTAATGCTGTCTTGTGCTGCATTTGTAAATGGCACTTTCTGTCAGGAAATAAAGTGATGCAGGACAGTTTGGGTTTAGAGGTTGTTTAGGTCTGTATTGATGTGGATTTCTGCTGGGAGTTATAGAACTATTTTAGTCACACACCCAGGGTTCTCAGGAGTCACACCTAAGAGAGATTGAGTAATACAATCAACAACAAATTGCTGGAATTTTATTCATAAACTTCTATTCGTAATATCAAAAGACTAAGTACTTATTTGTAGAGTTCTAGTAGTCCAAATACATTAAGGACTTAGATTCCAGAAAAAAAAAAAAAAAAAAAAAAAAAAAAACTAAGACTATGTAGAATAAGAAACAGGGTTATGGGCTAAGCGGTGAATAGAAAATGGATACAGAACCTTTCCGAAAGCATTCTTTTTTCCTATTTCACTTTGCTATTGAAAAAATTTCTTGTAGTAATTCGCAGGTTGTTGACCTAATAAAGCTAATTACTCTTTAGGACTAATTAAATATTAAATAGAAAATAAAACCTAGATTTAGCTTCTGGATTTTTTTAGAAACAACAGAAATATCCTCGTATACAAAAAGATACAAGCTTTGCTTCCTTTGTTGTCCGCATCATAAAGTTGATCACAAGTGCTTGTCATTATCTTCTGTTTGGCTATAAGATGCTTCTTCAAGTTCATTCATCTCTGTTTTAGATTGATGTAACTCTATTTTACTTTCTTGTTCTTTTGGGTTGAGTTATTTTGCTTCCTAGAAATTACTCATTGTGTTGCTGTAGTTGGCTAAGCTGTCTTTTGAGAGTTGATTAAGATATACGAATTCTGTATACATTGGAGTCAGCTTAGCGAACAATAATTGAGATTTAGTTATTCATATCACATCAGAGGTAAAAAGTGTTTTGCTTTCTCTACCAGCTAAGCCTTTTATGAAGGACATAGTAAGAACTGTATATCACAACGGGACAATGCACACTAGACTGTAGAGAATTTTGATCTTGTTTGACAGCCCTTCGTTAAAAGGTTGTGACTGCATAACTAGACTGTAGAGATTTATGATCTTGTTTGACAGCCCTTCGTTAAAAGGTTGTGACTGCATAACGTGGAAAACCTTCACTTGTTACCCTAAGGAGGTCCTTTGAGAGGCATGTGGCCTTATGTTCGATTAGTACTGATGCACACAAGAAAAGAAGCCATATTTTTTGTTTTTATGATAATTTCAATAGGTGTTTTTCTACAGTTTCCAAGTTTTCCCTCGTCACTGTATTGGATGGCACTTTGGTTGCCATTTAATGGGGCATGGAAACCTTTTACAGTGCTTAGGTTACTAATTAAATTGATCACAGAGCTTCTGCCTGCATTGAGTGTGTCAACCTCAAGTCTGTAACCTTTGTTTACAAAAACAAATGCAAGAAGTTTAAGCTGAACTGCTGCTACTTACATCCTTATCATGGTTTGGTTCATTGAGAGAGGCAAAGATATATGGTCCACAATACCCCATTAAGTGACAAAGGTGGAACTGAAAATATTGGGGAATAATCATTTTGACACTGAATAGTAGATTGACATCAATGTTTAGTCAGTAATTAGAATTTCTCCTCTTTTTTTTTTTTTTCGTATGTCCATTGAATTCTAGATTTGTAAAAGCAAGGTATGTTAAGAAATTAGGAGCATGTTATAATTGTATAGCCTGTTGTTGTTATGTTTTTTCAATTTCAGAAATTACAAGGGTATAAATTGCAGCTATCTAGAATCACTAGAATATGTAGGATGCAATAGAAGAGAATAAATTCAAAAATCGAAATGAATATGTGGGTTTAAGTAGAATTCATGGATTATGTTTGAATTCAAGAAGCCCATATTTTATTTAAGAAGATTTTAAACCTGACAGTTTATGTTTATTGCTTGTAAATGATCATATTCGTAAGAGATGTTCAACTGTGCTTTCCATGTGACCATAAATCATATACCTTACCAACTATGGATGTTCAGTTAGAAGTAGGTAGTTCGGCTCTTTGGAGCATACTTGTTTAAAACTAGGTGCTCAACTTGCTGCTGTGTCTAGGTTCGCGTCAACGGACCAAATGCTGCACCTGTATACAGGTTCCTCAAGGCAAGTAAACTTGGATTTATGGGAAATAGGATAAAGTGGAATTTTACCAAGTTTTTAGTTGACAAGGACGGGCATGTCCTTGATCGCTATAGCACAACCACTACTCCTATGGCCATTGAGGTTCATCTCTCTCTCTCTCTCTCTCTCTCTATTAGCAAACTTCTTATTCATAAAATTCTCACTCAGCTTTGCTGCTGCGTTTTTGGAACAGGCTGACATCAAGAAAGCACTGGGAGAAAAGTGAGAGATTTCCAACCACTGATTCAATTAGAAGTTAAAAACAACGTATAAATTAATCAAGCTATGGTTAGTTAAACGTATAAATTAGCCTTAAAACTTCTAGATATTGTTTTTTGTTTGTTGAGAAACTAGCACTTGCTAGTATGGTTTTCAGCATGTCTATATTTTTGGAAAAAAATACAAAAATATTTGTTATCTGTGTTCCATCAAAATGGAAGCTGGCATGCAAAGAATTTGGATTATAGAATCATAGGCGTCTGTTGCAAATTATTACTAATGTAATTCACACAATTTTAGCAATTATCTACTACGTGCACAGATAACAAATATGGGATTGTGTAGGTCCTGCTTCGTTGAATGCTAGTTTTAGTTTCCAGCTACTAGTTAACTGGCAAAAGAAATTATCTCCACTCTGGTTGGAATCAAAAGCCCTTGGCCTATTATTTGTATATGACGAGATTTGCCGTTACGGTAAGACACCCAGATTTTGGTGCGCAATCGTACCATTAATTTGGGCTTCCAACATATTACTGTTTATCAAGAGTAGGTACAAGGCGAGTGCTTAAGCAATCAGCATCCTCATTGGCTTTTGGAGCTATTGAATTAACTATTTTATTCAAATCCATTGATATTGAAGATGCTTTGGTGTTCTAGACTTGGCCACTGTTTACGGTGTTAGGACCTTGAAAGTAAGTAATCCTGGCTGTTTTACAAGTAAAAGCCAGTACCGAACTACATAAGTTCCACCCACTATTCTTCCCTCTCTTTTAATCCTTATAACAGTGGACAGAGGCCGCTGTTTTAGGAGTTAGCCTAACAAGCTTTCTGCATACTTGGTCACTTTTTGTCATCCATTCATGGTTAAATTACAAATTTCCAACTAACCTTGAGGCTTGGTGAAATTAAAGTCTACCAAGTGATAGTATATCTTAGTTAGAACACTTGAAACTTTTTGACATTTACTCTTGGAAAACTTCTCCCCTATTTTTTTTTACCCACACCATTCATTCCTATACCACAATCTAACTATATAAATGTCTCTCCACTCCTTGTATGTATGTACGTATGTTGGCAACCCAAAAATCATGAGATAGACAATCACGAATCTCCTTTCAACTTCATGACATAATAAAAATCCACCCGACAGGTTGTGGATTTGTATAGAATTAGATCCAACATCTGCAACAAGAGGACATTTAGTAGTTTCAACATTCTGTCGCCAGCATTAACTTCTTGCTAACTTCCTACGCGTATATTTCCTCTTAATCATCACGGCATCTATATTCTGTACCGCTTGAATTTCCACTGTATCACGTAGTTGAAGGAATAGGAAACCGGATTGGACTAGACACCTGATGGACATTTTGGGATGGACACGACCATTTTGTCGTCCCAAGTTGATTATATTGAGAGCGAAAACAATTAAGGGTTGGGATTTTCTGGATTCTGATGAATATAAAAAAAAAAAAATAAATAAATAAACGGCCAGCCATCCAGCCAGTGCCATTTCTATTCCGTTATGTTTGGTTCGTAGTCATCCCATTGGGGCAAATTCGGTATGAATAGACTTATCTATTGCCTATAAAACTAGTATGTACCGAACTAGCTAGATCTTTGCACATGATTTGTGTCACCAGACAGGACATATCCTTATCTCTTTACTTTAGTTTCACCCGGATTGAGATAAGGTGGCGCTTAGGAAGCTTCCCCATTTGCCGAACTTTACCACACAATACGAGGAATGGGGACAGGCTTTAGAACGTGGACAATGGCCCAAGAGCACACTTGTCGCATTCTCGATCCACTAACTCCAAACAGGTTGGCCCCTTATGAGTCATTACCAATGCGGCAAGGTCTCTGTAAGGTTGTCTCTGGACAACGAAGTAACACAGCCATTGTGCAATAGAACAAGAGGCACATTGTAAAGGACTTTGAAGTTCGAACTGAATTCTCCCGGCCGGCAACGATAAGTGGCCTGCATGTCGGATTGAATAGGACTAGGTGCATGGGTTTTTAAGTTAGCTAGACATGGTGCACGTGATTGTGGAGTGTAGTGAGGGTACGGTTGGTCCCTTTGATGGATGTTTCAATGGTTACATGGGTACGGTAATTGGTGCAATAGTCTTAATTGGTAGTTAGGACGTCAATTGTGGTTTATCCCTTCAATCTATTTGACTTTAATCACAATTGGTTCATTGTCAACCAAATAGGAAAGGGTAGGACAAGAATCCTTGAGATTTTATTTGATTTATTTACTTCTTTCAAAACCATGGACACGCATCAAACATGCTTCAGCCATGCATGTGGTATTAAATTGGTGTTAGGTTCCGTTCTACTTGTGGGTGCTGCCTAATTAAAGTGGTCAAAATTACTTAAGTTGATCGCTTTAGCCCAAAACTGAGCCCGAGTGATGCTAAAAACCGTAGTTCAGAATATGCTAATGATCATCCTTCATGTTAATGCGGGATGCTGAGTTATCTCATTTCTTCTTTTATTTGATAATTGATTTGGATTTCATAACAATTTAATGACATGATTTACCATTAAACTATTGAAATTACGACAAAATAAATTTTATATTATCAATATGAGATATTTGGAATTAAAATTATTAATTTTTAGATATATTTTATCATTTTTTATTATGCATAATGATCAAAATTTTGACCGTTAATTGAAAATATTTCAAATCGTGTAATTATAAGTATTTTGATTTTTTTAGAATTAAAATTAATTTTTTTAAAAAATATATATTTAATAATAGTTAGAATTTAAGAAGTTTAAATGATTTTATTATTCATAAATCTGGATTTTTTATTAGATAATTAATTATATATAATAGATCCATCTAATAAAAAAATTCAAAATTAATTATAATTTTAAAAAATATTATGAATGACATCTTTTTAAGTATTTAATTAACTCGTCAACGCTTCGATCGTCAAACATAACAAAAAAAACTCAAAAATTAATAATTTAAAGCTCAAAAAATCCAAATTAATAATATAGATTTTATTTGTCAAAATCCTAATAATTTAAGTGTAAATTATACGATTAATCCATTTGATAACCTTTCATATATGTACACTCCAAAAGAAATCAATTTTAAAATAATAAAACATGACTTAGTTGAAACATAAATTATAGTTTGGAAATAATTTATGGCTTACCGAAACAATTAGATACACTCCAAACGAAATAATTTAGGTTATTGAGGGCATGGTTGACATGAATTTTGGCAATGCACAAACTAAATAGAAGATGAGGCAGTAGTTTCTGTATGTGATATGGCTACATAAAAGTATGAGAGCTATGTGCATGAACGAAGGTATGCATGGCAGACAAAGGAGACCCTCCAATTTCCATAGAGTTCGAAGTCGATGTCAAGTCCTTCTCAGCTTGTTTTGGGCGAAGGAGACAAGCTAGTAGGTCTTCTTTGTCATCTTTACATCAACAGCAACACCTGGCCCATTGGTACAGGCCAACATTCGTCTCTCCACCACATATTCTCACACGCATATCTTCCATTCCAAATCCCTCTCTATATAAATGCCTAAAGATCCGTTCGAGCCCATCAAATACAAGTTAACCACAACAAACTAAAATCCAAGTGCTTGCTATACTTACCTTCAGTAATAACAGTTTCTTGCCTAATTAAGCACTAAAATGGCAGCAAATGCTTTGTCAATGAGAAGCATGAAGTTACGGTCGTGGCAGAGGTGTTCGAAGCAAATTAGAGAGCAAAGAACACGGGTTTACATCGTATGGAGATGTACTGTGATGCTTCTATGTTGGCATGAGTATAGTTAATTTTGCTAAATCTTGAGGGGTGGATGGGCGAGCATGCATCGGGCAATGGAGGCTCAATTAGTGTCAAGTATTGGATTGGGATTCGGACCTCAATTGCTAACTTCTCTACGGCTGAGTAAAAGGAGGCTAATTGAAGGGCTGGAAACTGTGGTTTCTCGATCATGCGCAGTTTATACAAAGCCCAAATGGTTAACGTAGTTTTTTTTTTTTTAATACATATATATGGAGGTTAATTAGAATCCAGATATGTGTCAGATGTAAAAATTTATGAAAGAAAGAAACAAAAACTACTGAGTTAAGCTTTGCTTATCTAATTCTGACGTAATCCACTTCTTAGAGACTTCCTATTCTGGTACAGTTGTTTGAAGTTGGAAACATATTCTGAATTAAATTAGGGATAAAAATGTATGGTGAAATCTGGATAGGAATTTGCATTATGTAAATAGAATTAATTGGAGCCTTCTACAGGGAAGTGGGAACCCAGTACTCCTTGCAGGATCTCTCAACCCTCACTTCATTTCACTTTCTTTTAACTTTGGCAAATTTAAATTTAGTCACCGGTATTGTCATGTCGTCACCGATGATCTTATCTTATGCATTCGGTTTTGACTAGCTCTCTTATCCTTTAGTCATGAAAGGTCCGTCCAGAAGCAGTCCAATCCGTGTATCAATCAGCTTCATCGAATACCTCAACTCTACCCCTTAAGCTAAGAGAAGTGGGGGAAGCCGAGAGGCATGGTGGTCTAGAGGAAATCATTCGATATCACTTCTTTCAATATATCAATGATTATCAATCATTCAATATCACTTCTTCCAATTTATCAATGATATCAGACGACTCTTTCATAAAAGTTACGTTAATTCTTCCAAAGCAAATAACATTAGGTCAAAAGCTAGTGTAAAATGTCTCTCTCTCCCAAAATAAAGTAAATTACGAGCTTGAATTGCAGCTTACAGGAAAAAACAAAAATGAAATTGATGCATAAAACAATTTTATAATGATTAAATTAATTTCACCTTCAAGCGTTGGACTACAGCTTGATGATGTTCTTAATTTCCTCCTCGATAAATCTAGCATCCATAGAAACTTGGCTAAACTTGATTTATGGTGGTACTTTTTCTCTTTCCAAACAATTGTTGCTTCTACCAACGAAAAAATGAATTGATCTGAAATATATTTGAATTCGTCTGACCATAACGAGAAAAATTGTATAAACTCCAGCATTATGAAATAGCAATACGATGTGGGGTGCTGCAAAATCTGCTTTAGCTATATAAACTTGAAAACAATAAAATCACCTAACAATATCTAAAAAATACTATAATCAAACTGGTCACTTTATTCAACCATTTACATTGCTCAACTTTATGTTTGAAGGGTCACTCTTCCAGTAAATCCCATCCATCATCCAAAAGCTGTTTCTCAATAGCGAAATCCTTTTCCACCGCTTTAAGGGACTTCGATGATTGAGCATGAATCGAGCATGTGGGGCTTGGCTCTTTTGGACTCTCAGATGGTTCGCCTAGTTCAGAAGCTATATCGGATGCCATGCTTTTAACGGATGAACCTGACGAGGCTAAAATGCAACTAGTCTGGGTGGAGGAAACAGATTTGCTCAATGGAACACGGTGATCAAATTTCTCTTTCAGCAGTCTCACATCCTGACAAATAACAGATATTTCTCCTCTGCAAAAAGGGGAAAAAAAAAACAGATCAGTCTATCGTCACTTACATCTTGAACTAAAAATTATACGTATTTATCAAGCATAAACAAAAATGTGGCAGAAAAGGTTATTTTTGTCATGCAGGGAAATCAATTTGCAAAGACAGAACAAACAATGACGAATGAAAAAGGTGATAGCAGGATAAATAATAGTAGCTAATTTGCAAGAACTACAAGAATTGTGAGTTAGCAGACCAATGGAAACCTTGAGTTTAAAGATACAAAGTAAAAGATATCAGTTCAGTAAAATCCAGGTGGTAACCAGGAATGAGCAAAATATTAAACACAAAACTATATCAAAATAATAAGGGAAAGACTTACTGCAATGTATCAACAACACAACCACGGTCCATGAGAAACTCACGCAGCTGCAATAAATTTAAAATTAGTCATTCTTTAATTTGGTAGCGACGCTAGAATACTATGGAGTGACATTGGGCAACTAATTGCTACCTTAGCATTCTCCTCCACCTCCTTTTGTAGAATTTTTGACTCTTGCACCACCTTCTCCATTATGATTTCTTGCTCGGCAAGAGCATTTCGTGCAGTCTCCTCCTTATCCAGCTTCTCCAACTCAGCTGCCTTTCTTAGCTCCTCTGCTGCAGCTAACCGTGATTCGAGAGTTTGATGCATCTATACATAATTTGCATTCAGGTTAACAAAAAATAAGGACTACAAATGATGCAGTCTGTCACTTAAAATACATTAGAAAACCAAGAGCTTTTTTAAAATGAAGGAAAGAAGAATAATTACAGCTCAACATGTAGAAACAAGTAGGGAAAAGAAAATGGTACTATGAAGTGACAATGTATTTTTCTCCTCAACAAGATTTCAAGGGGATACCTAAGACATTTAAAACAAAGATACGCAATTAAATTATAAGGTCAATACCTCATCAAGAATCGCAAGAGCATTATCCCTTTCATCTGACAAGCTGAGTAGTCGAGCCTGCAACTCCCTCACTTCAGTAGCTAGAATCGCCTTCTCTCCATAAACTTCTCCAGCGTGCTACAAAAGCAATCATATCATCACCAAGAGAAAAACATAATTAAAATTAAATGAGCATAACCCACAACCAGTGATTCAATACAATATCACAATTTTCCTACCATGTCATTTGCCTCTTTTGCGTGTACCAGCATCTGTTTCAGTTCCTCAACCTTGACTAGAATGTCCAAACCTCCACTAGCAGCTTCCTCTTTAGCTTGTTCTGCAGCTCTCTCTTGAAGTTCAACCTCTTTCATCATGTTCATAACTGACTCCATGGCCGAAAACAAGGTTCTCTGCATCAAGTTACAAAAAGAAGGAAACATGCATTTTAATTGATTAAGAACCGCACAGTCAAGAAAATACAAATCTCACTCTGTATCTCCATCCAGTATTATGAAGAAAAATCTTAAAAAATTATGTAAATTACAAACCTATATGTTTGGTGAATTTGATCAACTAAATAAAACAAGAGAGCATGAGAAAAAAAAAATTGAGCTGTTTTAGTTACAAGTAAAGCAGCAAGAAATTATAAATTACTCTCATGACTAGTAAATGCATTTTATACACGAGTTCCAAGTGTCAATACTTTTTAAGATTCAAAACCAACAATACCTTATTGTCTTTAGCAGCTTCTATAATCTCATCAAGAAGTTCAATTTTTATATTTTGCTTGGAGTTCATATTTTCAGAATCCTTAATGGAGATGCCGCCAAAATCAGAATGAAGACCACCTTCTGCCGAATCTGGTGTCTGTTCTACCACAGTATTTGTTACACTTGATGCAATGTCATCTACACAAGATTCTACTTGAGAGCTTTTTGCACGGATAACCATATCAAACTCAACATCCTCAGGACAATCAAAATGTTTCCACTGACTATGAGAATCAGTCAAGCTGCCACTTAATTCACCATTTTCCTGTACCAAACTGGTTGGCATAACTTGGAGAGTCTGCTCATGCCCAACTCTGGTGCTAATAGAATCAGTCAAGCCACCACTTAATTCACCATTTTCCTGTACCAAAATGGTAGGCATAACTAGGGAAGTCTGCTCATGCCCAACTCTGATGCTAAAATCTAGGCAATTACCCAAAGAAGATGGAACCTCAATTTGGGAATCATATAATTGAGCATGATCAGCATTAACTTCGTGCATCAAAGCATTTGGAACTACCTTTAATATCTGACTTGAACCAGGTTGCAAACTGTCTTGTTGTCGTTGAGGCTCTCCCAACAATATCAATTCTTCACTTTCAATATGCCCTTGCAACTGATTGGTGTCAGCATTCGCATCAGCAGATACAACCATAGGTTGATCCTGACTCTTTTCTTGATGAGTTGAATCACTATCATTGACATCACTAGTTAGGTCAGTTTTCCCGGCATCTTCTTCAGCTACTAATCTTGGTTCAGAAGAAGATCCCAGACTTTTCACCGAAATAACCCGTCGATGCCTCAGCCCAGTTTGTTTCTCATGTTCAGCTGCACCTCAAGATGTTTGATAAGTCACAATTTCATTATTGATAAGGGAACCAATTTTATTTAAATAAATATAGTTTTAACGTTTTGTTAAAGAGATATGAGGGGTTCGAACATTACCTTCTTCGTCTGATGGAAGACTTAGGCTGCTTTCCCCATGGGGAGGACTCGGAACAGCAGACTGCCTGGAAAGAAAAGGAATAACCTCCAGAAGAACAACTTCAACAGCAAGATCAGCATCTTTAGAATGTTCAATAGCAACTGCCTTCAGAATTCGTGAATCAACCTGTGCAGGTAATGAATTTAAACTAAGAGCGCCTCATTCAGAAACAATAATAATAATAATAACAATAAAATAGTAGTAATAAAAGAGTGAATAATAGGCAACCTACTAATTAACATAGACAGAGCATTATTAAATACAGGAAAAAATCAAAAGAAATGACAGTCATCAATAAAACGAAGCCGTAATCACAACCATTTCTTACGATAATAAACCAAATCAGCAAGAATAGGGCAGTTACACTGCATAATAATAATAATAATAATTTTGCTATTATCTGAGAGAGGAAGCAATGGAAAGATGAGAGTGATAGTGCAAATACCTGAGGAAACACATCCATCAAGCATTGATAAACTGTTTTGAAACCCATATTATTACTATTGTTAAACAACAAGAATCTGCAATTGAAAAAAAAAACAAGAAAAAGAGTCAATTCACAGCACACAACCCAAAGTTAACCACAAAACAATAAAACATAGAAACCCTAATGTTCTTCTGCCTTGTTAAAAAGAATCAGCAACGAAAACAATTTCAAAATTCCGTCACAATTATATTAAATTTTATTATAATTATAAGCAAAAGCACAGACCTTGCTATTTCAGACGCACAGAGAGAGAGGTGAAGGTGGTGCTGTTTACTTAATAGAGAAGGGAAGAGGAAGAGGTCGAGGTTGGCTCTGGGTATTTGTAGTTTAGTGTGTTTGTGTTTTTTTATCGGGAGAATAAGTCCCTGATCACGAGGAGTCTTAACTATAGAGTACACCTCAAATTAGTCCTCTTATTATTAAATAATTCTCAATGTAGTTCCCAACTATTAATGTTATTGATTGGGTTCTTAAAAGTGCAGTACGTTTCTCTTATTTAAATTGAATTAAAATCCTCTCATGTCATAATAAACATAATCCATAATATTTGTCAAATCTTGCCTGTTAATTTTAAATTGATGGGAGCATAAGGTAAATTAACCACCCATTTAAAATTATTTTAACCATTCGTTAGTTTTTTATTAAAAAAACCTAGTCGTTGACTTTCGTTTAATAAATTTGATTGTTCATGCATAATAGATCATGTTTTAATAAAAGTTTAATAGCAAATTTTATGGTATTCTATTGTAATTTGATAATTTCAACCTCATAATACTAAATTACGTAATTTGAATTTTAAGATATTGGAGATTGGACAAATTTGATCCAAAATTTTCAAACTTCTTTATATGTAACGGTTAACCTGAGTTAATCATAACTTAAAATATAAAAAACGACATTATTTTAGTATTTTGTTGTTACATATATTTTTTTAAATATATTTTAAAAATATTTTTAACCTCCAAATCTTGAAATTTTTTTAAATTTTTTCATATAAAGTATTGTAAAAATTTTATAAATTATATAAAAATATTTTATAAATATTTTTAATCTCTTAATATTGAATTTAAAAAAAATATATAAAATGTTAGTGTGAAAAAAACATAATTAATAATACACAATTTAAGACCTTAAAAAATATTTTATAAATTAAAATGAACGTAATTAAGGATTAACCTCCCTAATTTTATAAATTATAAAAAAAATTATAAATTTTTTATAATATTTTATAAAACAATTAAAATTAGAGGGTTAAAAATATTTATAATATTTTATAAGAAAAAAATTTTAAAAAAAAGTTCAAGATTAAGGGGTTAAAAATATTTTTCAAATTGTTTTTTACAAGAAAAAACTAATTGACATTGAAATATCAAAACAACGTTATTTTGACATTTTAAGTAATAGTCAACTAGGTTGATAGCTACTTATAACGAAAATTCAACAATTTAAATAACATTTGTCCAATCTTGAATATTTTGAGATTCAAATTATATAATTTAATACTATAGGTTTGAAATTGTCAAGCCACAATAAGATCGGCATAAAATTCTTTCTTTTTTTACATAAAATTTTCAAATATTTTTCATGTCAAATTTTCTTTAGAACGACATCATTTTATTGTATGATAGATGCAATCTGGACGGAAAATGTTAACAAATATAGACCAGATGACTCAATTGAGGAACATCTAATACCTTTTGGATTTAATTGAGAAAATTAATAGTTTGAGGTCTAGTTGAGAAATGGTATATAATTGGTAGACTAATCTGAGATTGACCCTTTATTTATTATAGGCGGTTCGATTCAATTCCAAGGATTGCATTTTAGTCTCGCTCTGACACGGGAACCACTGTAGAATACAAATCGGTTTTTAACCGCACTGTTATTTATTTATTTTATATTTATGTTTGTAATTTTCGGGGATCGGATACTGCATTCGGTTTGCGTGATGGAGCTTCGTCCGTCCTTGTCAGCTTCATCCTGATATAGACAAAAATGATTTTTTTTTTTTTTTTAAAGGTTTTGGCTTTTTACTGTGGTGGGATTGTAACTTCAAAAAATAAATTAATTAATCCCTCTGGTTTTAATAATTATTATTTAATCCGGTATTTTCAAAGTCTATTTATGGCCCGGTGACTCACTCCCTTTGTGAGTTTTATTATTACGATATTGAGTTTCCACCCACTCAACATTTTATTTCCCAAATATGTTCTTTAATCTGGCCAACTATCTACTAAACAATGGAAATCGTAATTTTCTTATTAGTTTAAAAACTAACCATTGTTAGACATCTTTGAATCCCATCTTAAATATTAAAATAGATAAAAGAATCTACTAAAGAGGTAAACAAGTTACACATATCTCGTTTAAAAATATGTCACGTCCTCATTCTTTATGCAATGTAAAAATAACGTCGTAGAATATTCCATCATATCACACCATACTAAAACCCAATTGAAATCATAAATCAATCATCTACTTAATTATAGAATTGTGGGCATGTAATAACCCACTCTAAAAATAAAATTAAGTTAGTAAATTATATATTTTTGGAATAGAAAAATAATTATAAGCTAATCAGAAGTAAATTATATTCTTAGTATGAATTAAAAATTTTTGAGTTTTGTTATAAAACAAAAATTAGTACTCAATTCTATGAAAGAGAAAAAATAAGAATAAGAATTTAATTAAAAAAAAAAAAAACTGAATAGCCTTTGAAAAAACGGGACAGCTTATTTTGTCCCTTATTTCTTCATTTCTTCTCCTTCCTTTCTCACCTAAAAATTCTCTCTAGTCCCTCGAATTCTCTCCTCCATTTGTGTGCTAAAACTTGCCATAACTTTAAAAACAAAAAAAAAAAAAAAAACAAATAAAAAACAAAACAAAACTTGAAAAAAGAAGATCAAAGTAATATTTAGCTATGTTAAAGTTTGAAGGACTTGAAAGAATTGAAAGTTGAAATTAGGTTTTGAAGACTCGTTTGTCAAATGTGACATTTTTGTTATTTGACCTTAAAATTAAGATGTTTATATAAGTTTTTGATGATTTTGGAATTGTTTTGTGTTGGGTTTATTATTGAAATAAAATTGAATTACGTTATGATTAGGGTTTGAATTAAACTTGAGGGTTTGATGATCAAACACTTATTTATATTAATTGATGCTTGAAATGAGATGATGATGGTGTGAAAATGATTATTGAACTATGAATTTGAGAAATTTCCAAGTTGGTTGAGATGATGGATAGTAAAGGTAAATTATGGGAAATCTTGAATTGAAAATTAATTATGGATTGTAAAAACAAGTTATGTGAAAATTGAGTTAAAAATTAATGATTGATAATAGGTTGTAATAAATAGTAAATTGAGTTGTTAGAGAAAGATTGTAGAATAAACTTATGATATAATTTTTGGATAATTGCCTAGAATTGGTAGAGAGAGTAAGAACTTAGTTAAAAATCCTCGGTTTGAGTATTTTCGATAAATTCTGTTTTTACAATTTGTCTGGCATTCTAATTTCTAAATTAGTTCATTTGCTTTCAAATTATCTCTTGATATGTGATATTAATGATTATTCAATTATTTTGTATCATTAGATTCTTCAAAGCGAGCGATCGATCTCATCAACCTTGGCTTTGCTTGATCATCCGATTGCACTTGTGAGTAAATAATATTTAGTATATCGTGTTTTTAAGTTTCTTAATATTTCCATCATGCATCTTTGATTTCATTATGTCATAATCGCATATATTAAAGCTTAAATGGGAACGGACTCCTCGTGTAATTTGAAACAATTTGACATCAAAAATGATTTGATATGATTATGAAAAAAATTTGACTATGTATTTTAAATAAGAGTTTCACTTAAGGTTTGATTTAATTTTAATAATTTAATTAAGATTATTTATTATGATTTTATTCGTATGATTTAAGTAAATATTTAATTTATGATTTCAAATATGAGTTTGGATTTGAGCTTGTATTATAATTATGAGGTATTTGATATTGAATTGCATTATCAAATTTGACATTGAAAGAGCGAAGCACATGTGGGCTAATATGTTTCAACGGAGAAAGGAATTTGGTACCGATACCACTATGGAGATAATTGGGCTATCTACCAATTTGCTTGAAATGACTTTGCTATCCTTTTTATCAAAATTTACCACTCATGTTTCGGGATTTTGAATCTAAAGAGTTTGATGAAGTTTTGAAGTTTTACCTATATGATGGTAGCCATGGTGTGGTAATCAAGATGGGGATAAAGAGGTGAGACTCGTTTATATAAAAAGGTTGGCAAAAGTTGAGCTTAACAAACTTTTGCATGCTACAACTATGGACCAACATGTTAGATACCATGCGTAGGAGTTCGAGAAAAGCTTTGCAATAAAGTTTTCAGCTTTAATAGGTTTTTTTAAATTTATTATTATATTGATTTTATGTTTTATTTGATTGAAATTTGTTGGGTTTACATTAAATGATCAAAGTAACAACATTGGTTAGACAATTGTTTGTCATTTTTTATTATCATTAAATTCATGACTATCTACAAGAACAAAGTCGTTGTTTGAGTTGCAAATGTTGATGTTGAATTGTTGATGGTGATAATAACATAGGTAGACAATGGTTCTTTTTGTGATCATATGATGTGCAAACTAATTTTGGTTATCCATGATAAATAATTTTTATTTTTATTTTATTTTATTTTTTTTTTTTTTTTGTAGTTTAAGGAATTTTAGACTAGAAATGTTGTTTAAAGAAGTTGCGTATTGGTGAATTATGTCTGCTCAATAAGAGAATTTTAGAAAGTGTCAACTCTCAAATCTATGAATACATATATAGTGTAATACATTTTGAATGGCTAAGTTTGTTTAAGCGGCTACATTTACAAGTTTTAAGTTGTTTGATGGGATACCCTCAATTAAATTGCTATTTCAAATCCTTTGCATCGCCTTTGTTATTTCATACTCTAAAATCACATATCCTTCTAATCATACTCCAAGAGCATCAATATTACTTTAGTTAAAGAAAGACAAAAAAAGAATCTCTTGGCATAAAATGAGACTCATGAAAGCCAAATAGAGTAGAAAACGTGTGTAATTTGGTTTTGAAAAATATAATTTTTCATATCATAGATTAATCAATCAAGAAGTCTTAACTCGATGGTAACAAAGAAAATGTTAAATATTTTCACCCACAGTACAATATTAAGATAAAATAAATAAAAATTTGCAAGCACAAAAGTTCTTTACTTTTTTTTTTCCTCTTCAGATGTAGTAGCTATAAAATAAAGTTTTTTTTTTATTCCTAATATATTCACAAAACAAAACATAGAGTAATTTGAGGCTTTTAAAATTTGTATAGGACTTGATGTTCCTAGCTAGCCAGGATTAATTGTCTCAAAGCACCAAACATGGTTTTCATCACAATTGTAGCTTTCATTTTTCTTGATGTGTGTGATGATGTTTTCTCTTTTCCCTTCTTGTATGTAATGATGATTTTTTTAAGACTTTTTTAAGGAGTTGCTAGGACTTCTCCTGATAATCACATACAATTTTTTTTAAAAAAAATTTGTATTGTCATAATTTTTTACTTTTTGTGTTTCTCGTACCAATTTTTCATCTGCAAAATTTCAAACTGGGATCAATGGGAATTTTGTTTGCATATTTTTTTTTAAAAAAAAACTAAAATTCAACCATTTAAATGATTTAAATTCAGCCGAGAGGCACCCGGACTCTAAAGCGCCTTTAGCCACCCCACCGCACTACGTGAAGATTCAGATTTCACAGAGGATAAGAATCAAAACTTGCAATTGCATGCTTTAGTTAAATAAATATAAATCAATCCTTTTATTTTGGAACAATAAATTAGTTAGTACTTTTATTTCAAAAACTAATTATTTAATTATTTTTATCTTTTTATGTTATTTTCTAATTTATTTTCTTTTTTATTTTAAAACATAGAAAAAAAATAAATTTATATCATAAAAAAAGTGGTGAAAAAATATATTTTATGAAACAAAATATATTACATTAAATATGATCAATACTGATTACAAGATTCAATAATTGATTTTAGAAACAAAATTAAATAATTAATTCATTTGTCAAAAATAAAGGGATTAATATATAATTTACTCTCAATTATTTATATTGCGTCTATCTTGTGTGCAACATATTAAAAGGCTTATAAATGCAGTTTTTAATTGAGTAAATTATAAATTCGACCTTTTAATTAGAAAAAAACAATTAGCTAGTCTTTTTTCTTAAAAAAAAAAAATCCTTTAATCATTTTGTTTCTATTTTATGTTATTTTCTAGTTTGGTTTTAGAATTAGAAAAAGTAAAAATTTATATTTATATCATGAAAAAGATTGATGAAGGAAAAAAATATTATGATTCACAAGTACATAGTCTGGAACAATATTACAACTCAAAAAGTTCACAAACATATAGTTATGTATTTTATGATTCATACGGTATCTCATGATACCGATCTATGTTGAATCCACAATATGTTTTTTTTTTTTTTTTAAATTGATCATCTATGACTGCTTTATTGTTTTGGTAATTGGATTTAAGAGAACAATATAGTTATGATTATAATTTTAATGGACGAGGATCATAGCATTAACAACAAAATGATAACTATTATTATGATTTTCCATGATAATATTTTTGAAAATTAATATTTTGTAAGGTGTATTGAAATTTTAATGTATTTTATTATTTTTTATGATATATTAATGTATTAGAAGTGCTATTAACTTATTTTTACAATAAATTCAATTATTGTTGTATGATATTAAACTATTAGAGATGTTATTACTTATTAGCATGCATAATTAATAAAATTGTTAAAAAATTTATGAATTAGAAAAAATTTATCAACAATTGCTAATTTATTCACGACATCGATTATTGCAATCGTTATTTTACTATCACAATAAGCCGTTATACGGAATGAATATTAATACTCGCTCATGGGGAGGTTTTTATCATATGATTAGTGATGCATAATTGATTATGAATTTTAGTATTATTATGGAAAAACTTATTGGTTTATTTTAGCTTCGATGTTCCTTCTAATTCATGTTTAGCGATACAAAGATCAGGCAACAAACCATAAAACACCACCTTCTCTATTGTAAAATGACCCAAAAAAATAAAACAATACTATTGGCACAGTCAACACTAATATTAAAAATTAATTGAACTTAACTCATAATGTATGGACTGCAAAGTTCTAATACGTATACCGATCTCGTAAAGTAGTAAGGATTATCAACTAGTAACATACTATAAGTCAACTAAAGGATACACGTGGCTATCCGATCTCTATCCTTAGCTTTATTTTGCATATCCAAATTACTTGAACCAATTAGGCCAAATGCCCTTATCGAATGGGCTAACCACCGAGTTGCCTGCAGGACTGGCTTTGCGGTTTGTCGACAAACGGCGAGAGCTCCATAACACAACACAATGACCCTGAGGGTTTAAGGTAAAGCCCTAGTTCGTAGTACATGACAGCGTGACAGACAGAGAGACAGGGCATCTTCTTCCTCTGTAGGGTTTGGTTGGTCACATTTTGCAGGTATGCTCTTCAAAACCTACTCCGTTTATACTAATACTATTAAGCACCTGTTGCATAAACAATCTCTCATAAACCCTTTATTCAACCTCCATACCAAACCCATTTCAAGCCTCAAAGTTGTGTGGCGCAAAGACCCACAACTAGACCATGCCATTGAGAGAGATAAGCAATACAAGCTCTGCTCAAAGGTTGTCAAAGAGGTCCTTAACGAACCGGGTCAAGTAATCCCTCTTCGTTACCTTGAAAAGAGACGCGACAGATTGCGCCTCAATATTAAAATTCCTACTTTTCTGAATAAAAACCCTGCCCTCTTTGATGTTTATCACGATCGAATCAGACCCAAGTCAGAACCCGTCCGGTTTGTCCGTGTTAGCCATCGGCTGAGGAACTTTCTTGAAGAAGAGAGAAGGATCGTTTTGAAAAATGAGGAGTGGATTGTTTTGAAATTGTGCAAATTGCTGATGATGGCTAAGGACAAGGTCCTTAGTGTGGATAAATTGGTTCATGTGAAGAGAGAATTTGGATTTCCTAATGATTTTTTGGTCAATTTGGTGCATAGGTATCCAAATTATTTTAGGCTTATTGGCCCTCCCGAGGAGGGGAAGTCATTCCTTGAGCTGGTTGAATGGAATCCTGAGTTTGCCAAATCGGTTATTGAGCAAAGAGCCGAGGAGGAGTCTTGCCTAACGGGAATTCGTGTTAGGCCTAATTTTTACTACAAGCTTCCTTCAGGGTTCTTCTTGAGGAAGGAGATGAGGGAGTGGGTTAGGGATTGGTTAGAACTTGATTATATATCACCATATGTTGATGTGTCGCACTTGGATCAAGCTTCACAGGAAATGGAGAAGAGAACTGTTGGGGTTTTCCATGAGTTGCTATCACTTTCGTTGTTCAAGAGGATTCCAGTGCCCATACTGGGGAAGTTTAACGAGGAGTACAGGTTTTCCAATGCATTTTCAAGTGTGTTCACCAGGCATTCAGGAATATTTTACATGTCGTTGAAAGGGGGGATTAAGACTGCGATGCTAAGGGAAGCTTATAAGGATGGTGAGTTGATTCAAAGGGATCCGTTGCTTGAAATAAAGGACAAGTTTGTTCAGTTGTTGGAAGAGGGGTGGCAGGAGAGAGCAGAGCAGTTGAGGTTGCAAAAGGAAGAGGTTAAGAAGGACAGGGAAATGCTGGCAATGATGGATGGGGACATGGATGGACAAGAGAGCAGCAGGGAATTGGATGGGCAAGAGGTCGAGGAATAGCTGTGAATTTCCAAGTTATGTTGATCTTGGAAGGAAACTGAGGCAAAGGAGTTGATGCTTAATGATAAAGAACAATCTTCCCCGAGTCTGTCACAGTGGCCATTGCTGATGGCTTGAGATTGCATATCCAATTAACACTACTGATTGTGTGGAGCAATTTCCTGTGAGTTCGTTAATGCCTATTTTCCCTCTTTGCCTGTTGTGTGCAAGGAAGTGCAACATGAAAAGGATTTCTGAGGAAAAAGGGCCACTTGATTTTGTTTTAAAACAAATAGTTGGATGCAGTTGTGACTTACTACATGTTAGTTAATCAATAAATCATCATAAATTGGGTCATTGCCATCTTCTTTGGTGTGCCCATGAGGTAATAGTTTGATGAACTATACAGGCTTTGGACTTTTTCTAATCTTTTATTTTTCAGTTACCAGAGTATTATGTCTACAGAGAAGTAGCAAGTTTTTATCTACCATTTATACGAATCAGATCTTTGACAAACACTATTTTAAAATCACATGGTAAATGCACGAATGCTTATATGATTCTGTTAATCTGGAAAAAGTGTCAATATGTTGCAGAAGTATGCCCTTGTCCACTTTATGAAAATGGCAAAGGCCTTACATGTGTCTTGGGTGTGCATAAGAACAGATCTAATCAACTCAATTTTGCTTTTTAAGTTTCCGGTTTTAGACAAGTCCTGCTGTCTGACTCTGAGTAATTTTGCCTAAGAAATATAGTTTGGAAGATTCAAAATTCGAGGTAATAGATTTAAATGGATTGATCTTAAACATTGGAGAGACTTTCTTAATGGCCTCAGGTTTTGCAAGCTTTCTATGAGCGTAATCATTTCCTTTCATTTACTAGGACCTTTGGTTTTTCCATGTTTGCTCTGCATCCAATCCAGGCTTTGAGGTCGAAACAACTATGCTTGCATATCTGCTTACAGTTCTCTTTAAAATCTAGCTTGTCATGCTACACCTTTCTTCTTGTCCCGTTATAAAATTGCTAATGAGAATATGTAACGAGGTTCAACTTCGATCCTATAAATGCGTAGTTTTCCGGTTGTGCTCCCCTTATGTAATGAATGTAATCATGCTTATATAAATTCTGCAAGACTACAAAGTGTTGTCCTTCTGGCTGACAGCTGCGCTCCCCCTTCCTCTGTGGCATGTTCCAAATTTACCCCCGGCCACTTTTGTCAGAAGATAAAGTTGAACATGGTACCTGTGGTCATTATGCTGTTGTGACAGAGAATATTTCTCGTTTATTTGTGAAGCCAGGGGGCATTCTATTTTCTCCTGTTTCCCCGTTTTGTTTCATGCTGTACAGGTTTCTCCGTTTGAGTGAAAAAGGGTAAGATTTTTCGCACTAGAAATATGGTTGTTAAGTATTTTTTGTCATTCGGGAATATTTTCCATGCCATGGAAAAGGGGGAATTAAGACTGATATGCTAAGGGAAGTTTGTGAGGTTGGAAATTGATTCAAGGGGATCCGTTGCTTGAAACAAAGAACAAGTTTGCGCAATTGTAGAAGAGGGGTGGCAGGAGAGTGCAGAACAGTCGAGGTTACAAAGGAGAAGTTTGCTTAGTTGTTTGTCTTGACTGTGCAATTGTCTTATGAAGTTATCATGGTTGGTATTCTCTAAAAATCTTGGTGATTTAGCACTTTTCATGATATTTCAATAAATCACTAGTTTACCTCGTGTGGAGAAATAAATTGTTTTCTGTCAAGGGCTTGTCTTATACCTAACTTGTAATCACACAAACCAAATGAGTCGCAATAACAATTCAGACCCTGTACTCTTCAATGTGTATCAACTTAAAAAGCAGCAGCTCTCTTTGCCATTCCCACAAGCATACCTAACCCCGAGGAAACAGAAAGGTTGTGAGAAAAACAAGTATAAAAAGAGCAGAAACTGTTATTGCATTTCCTTAAACCAATTCTTTTCCTGTAATACACAACCCAAATGGGAAGAGTCAAGATTCTCGCATTAGCGCTTTTCGTTGCATCTCTATTACTTGAACAGCCCGCGACTGAGGCTAACCCAGCCCCTACTCAGCACCCACTTTGCGTATCCCAGTATTCTCTAGTGAACTATGCTTGTTCAGGGATTCGAGGTACCCCATTGCCAAACTATTCTCTTACCTCCGATGACGACCATGATGGAGGACACGGACACGGACACGGACACAGTCACAGGCACGGGCATAGACATAGGCACAGGGCCAGTCACCATGGACCATCGTCTTCACAAGACAATTGTTGCAAATGGCTGAATGAATTAGACGATGAGTGTGTGTGTGATCTGCTATATAACTTACCTCCTTTCCTGTCGAAGCCTGCACACCAGTACACTCTCTATGTTGATGAAGCATGCAATGTTACTTACAATTGTGACGGGCGCATGAAACTCTAATAGGGCATGGCATCTCAACTACTGTTACTTATATCTCATCTAACCAGATAATTCAAGTTTGATGAACTTGACTCATTAACTGGAAGTGTATAAGCTGCATAACCTTAATTAATTATGCCTTAATTTCTCAATGATACCCAAGCAGATTGAAGGACATTATATTAGTCGGCTAATTAAGGTACATGAATAAGCTGTTATAGTATCATTAATTATTATAATCATCCCAGCAAGCAAATACTCGTACCATCATATTGTTATAACTGTTATAGGGATGCATGATTTATTTAATTACATAGAAAATCAGTATCACAACGCAATTATCTGGTTTCTTAATCATTGAATTTCACTTTCAATACCAGAAAAAGAATGAATTTCAATTTAACATGCACATGAAAGGGGAAACAAAAAAGATAATAAAGTAAACTAAACTTTTGCTATCTAATTAATGTAGTAGGCTGACTGCTGGTTCTTCTAACTGAAGGTTTAAGGTGAAACAGGGTTGAAGGCACAAAAAGCTGTTAAAAAAAAAAAAAATCGGGAGAACATTAAAGAGCAGTTTAAAACACTCAAGTATATAAATCAAGAGCGGTTGCTACTAAAGTTTTAAATCACGGACGATTGAAAAAACAATTATGATCGTTATCACGGATCGCGACTAACTATAATACTAAAATAATGATAACATGATGCTTCAAAGCCGTTACATAACAGTTGTTATATAACGTAACGACCGTTATTTAAAACTATGGCTGCTACAATCTTGATGCTTTAGCATGACACAATGTAAATGACTATTACAACCATAGTTTTAAATAACGGCTGTTACGTTACATAACGATCAATATGTAACAGTTTCGAGTATGTCGTTATCGTTATTTTAGTATTATAGTAAGTCGCGATCCGCGATGATGACCGTGATCGTTTTTTTAAGCGTCCGTGACTTAAAACTATGATTACAACCATCAAATTTGTTCTTTTATTACAACCAGTAGTCCTACTTCCGAAAGCTATGGCATTGAGCCGATGTTCAAATCATCGACATTTTAGACTTCCCCACTAATCATATTGAGCTTCAGCTCTCTCTACAAGAAATCATTTGGGTATTTATCATTACTTAGTGCCAATATCTACCTAAGCTCAGAGCAAATTTATTGCAGATTTCATTGAAATCAATTTAGCGCATTGTAAGCAATTAGAGTCGGGGTTCAAGAGATCTAATGAATAAGTTAAATCACCTGTGCAGCCAGGGTTCAATGGGTCGAACGAAATAGTAGAAATAGGATGCCGCACACAATCTATGCCAGATGAACCTCTTATAAGCCATTAGGGAAATTGCTAACCACAAATCAGCCCAGACACACACACACACACACGCACGCATATGGACTTCCTTGTAGAAAATAAAAAATTGGTTTCCATGTAGGAACAAGATTGGTAGTCAATAGGCCGGATGAACTTTCACGCTTATACAATATATGACCTAACTTGTTATCATGCAAAACGAATGCACATTCTTTATCTCCTGATCACCCTTTTAATATCTACCAAAGCATCAAGAGTTAACTACTGGAAACAAAAGGTTATGACTGAACAGCAATATTGATCAGTATATAAGGAAGCCAAGGCTAGCTATTACTTAGATCAGACGTCAGAAACATCCCATTTGTGGTGCATTTATACTTGCAAGTAGTGAGAGATCAGAGATATATATACATATAGTAAAAATGAAGAATCTCAAGGCTTTTGTGTTAACATTTTTTGCAGTATTCTTGTTTCTTGTGTTCGATGTTAATGGGCAGCTGCAGAATCCTATTCCTCAACGCCCCTTATGTGTCTCCCAACTTGCACTGGTGAACTATGCATGTGGAAATCTACTTCCAACACCACCAGCTACCACCACCACCTCCCTGCCCTCCACTGTTGTCTTCCCTGGAGATGATGATAACAACCGCGGGCACAGGCACCGGCACGGTCACGGTCACGTCATGACAGAGGCACGGTCATAGCCATGGAGGAGCGCAAGAAGATAATTGTTGCCGGTGGCTGAATGATGTGGATGATGAATGTGTGTGTGAATTGCTGGTTCGCTTGCCACCCTTCCTTTCAAAGCCTCAGCATGAATACACTATCAAGATTGATGACTCTTGCAGTGTTTCCTACACTTGTGGATTTAAGTGACCAGCTGTTGCTCATATATATCTTATATTATATTTCTCATTTCTGGTAGATTAAATTTGGTGATCAGATATAGACATATATGGTTCTCAGCACATACTGCTAGTTAATTATGAATTATGAGCTTCGATTATCAATCTCTAATAAGTTCTTACACAATCTTTAATTAGCTAATTAAGATCGATGTTTTTTTTATTACCAGTTTCAAGCTTTCATAATTTCTCTTAAAATTAAAGTCACGTAATCATGTTTCTTATGGCATTAATCTTGTTTATCGAAAGCTGCTTTTTATTTATTTTTATTTTTTATTTTTGATATATACTGTTGCTTTAGGCATGCCAATCTGTAGCTCTAACTCAAACTAGATAGTTAAGATCGGATCAATGTGGCTGCAATTAATTAATTAATCAATGGCCTTTTTTCTCAGCCTATGCCATTTTGTGAAACCTTTCTCAAAACAGTAAAATTTACTTCACCTAACTCCTTAAATGTGAAAAGAATATTGAAAAAAAAGTAGATTTCACGAACATAAATTGTTATTTAGTGATTAATTAAATTTTTTAATATATCATATCTATATAAGTAATGTGTTCATCAAGAATTTAGTTCTAAATAACATCCACACTAATTCAAAAATATTTTAATCAAAAAATTTTTTATCGTTGAATATAAAAAATTATTTGATTAAAATTTGTTTTAAATGTATGATAAAAAAAAAAAAGGAAAAAAGAAAACAAAAGATCTAAAGGTGATATTAGAGTGGGCGTGTTTATTGTAAAGCACCGACAATTGGTTGTTGAGAACTTAAGGTAATGCCAAGTGTCTACTAAAAGTGATTGTTGTATGAGTGTGACGTGTAAACGAGGAACCCCTAGTTGCATTTTCAAATCCCACTAGCCACTAAGAAGATAATGGACCTGTTTTGAATCCATTATTCTGATTCTTCCTAACATTCCGTCGGCCTAAAGCAGCCCAATGGGAGACCCCGACACAAATCCATAATTGGGTCCACATTACTCTTGGATCCACGCGCACTAAGTATTAGAGATGAACAAACGGTTAAGCGATTTAATTTTATATAAATTCATTTAATTTTTAATTAATTAAATTAAGAAAAATTAAAATTAAAATCGAATTGAAATAAATTCAGTTTGAAATCAAATTATTTTGGTTCTATTTCGTAAAATTTTGATTTTAACTGAAATAATTTTTTTTAATTGATAAACTCTAAACATGGGCTGAGTTAATATTTAGAGGCTTTTTATTTTTAGTATATGGGCTAGGTTAATAAAGAATATACTTCTTTCTTGAATATTATAATTTAAATCTCAAATTAGGTGTAGAAAATAAAATTTTTATAAATCTCTAATCTTACCATAATTTAGATTTTTTTTTAAGTGGTGATCAGATTTTATTTTTTTTAGTATTTATTTCAATATATTTGATTTTCGGTGAAAACCAATTTTTTTTTTAAAAAAAACAAATCAAACCGAAATAATTTCAGCATTTCGATTTGATTTTTAATTTTACAAATTTAAATTCAAAATCAAACCAAAATACAAAATTCGATTTAATTCGATTCAATTTTTCAATTAACTAGAATTATGCTCACTCCCACTGATACTCCATTGGATCGTTCTCTATTGCAGACACAAAGGAAATTAGAAATTGAAATTATTATAAAATTTCTATTAAACGATTAATCAATGGTTGCCTAATACAATCTAGTGCATTGCATTAGAAACAGAAATTTATCAGTGTTAACAATTTGTGATTAATTTTTATTTTTTTCATCATATATATAGAACGTTTGACGTAATTTCCTTTTTATTTTTATTAGAAACGGGGCGAAACCCAAAAGAAAAGAGAATTACACCCTGCATAAATGGGGTAAAGCTACCCCTGCTTCCTCTTGTTAAAGCAAAGAAACGAGATCTATGCTTTTATATTCTATTGTTTTGTGGTAATTTATAATTAAGGAATGCGACCAGACGTATAAAAAAAAAAAAAGGATATGAAAATATCTAAATCTCTTAAGCGTGTCATGCTTTTGCATCCTGAATGGTGCATGTTCATAATTTTCTGTTATTTGGTTTTGAATGCTTGATATGATAAAGCGGGAGTTTAACTGTGAAATATGATGATAATATAATATCGAACATACAAGCAATAAAGTTCAAGAAAAAACTCCCATTTTCAAGTAATTAATCTACCGTATTGAACGGCTAGCTAGGCCACAAGACATTGTCGAAAGTAACCTATAGTTGTTCCTACATGAGCAGGGACAGGGACCTTGTCGGCAGAAACACCATAGAGGAATTGTCCCACAATGGCATTGCAGGGTCTGGCCACAAGCATTTCCCAGGAATCTTTTCAAGTAATTAATCTACCGTATTGAACGGCTAGGCCACAAGGCATTGTCGCATGTAACCTATAGTTGTTCCTACAAGAGCAGGGACAGGGACAGGGACCTTATAGGTCGAAACACCATAAGGAATTGTCAATTGTCCAGCAATGGCATTGCTGGGTCTGGCCACAAGCATTTCCCAGGCATCTTTTTAAGTAATTAATCTACCGTATTGAACGGCTAGGCCACGAAGCATTGTCGAATGTAACCTATGGTTGCTCCTACATGAGCAGGGACAGGGAACTTATCGGCAGAAACACCATAGAGGAATTGTCCCACAATAGCATTGCTGGGTCTGGCCACAAGCATTTCCCAGGCATCCTCTGCTTCCTTTCCTTGATTTCGGAACACTTCAGTGGCATCCAGTCTGTGAAGGTTCCACCCCTTGATCTTCCTAAGCCGATTAATCTTTTCCCATTGGCGACAAACTAAGTTACATGTATTATTTTTGACATCACATATTGCTTCATGAAGTAGTCTAGCACGATTTTCTTCATCCAAAAATGCTTCAGCTCTGAAGTACTTATCGAATTCTGGAACTCCAATCGACCTCCTGATCCCAATAGAATAATCTGCGTAGGGATCGAAAATATTTCTCACCTCATCGATCATTCCCATATTGACCATTTGATCGACTCGCCTCGAAACAAAGTCATGTAGCACAGGCATTGATACATCTATCCAGAGGAAGCAACACTCATATTTGGACCGTAATCTAAAATCCTCATCATCCATCAAGGCCTCGTTGTGTGAATTGGAACCTCCAACAATGATTGGAACCAAGCCTCGAGTCGAAATTGATTCAACCGCAAACGAAGCCATGTGACAGAAATTTGTTACTGTAAAGTCTGCATTAGGATTTGCAATTCCTAACAAATGGTGAGGGACGCCAGACTTCTCTTCTTCAGCAACTTTGTTGGTGACTATGTCAAGTCCTTCGTAAATCTGCATTTTATCGGAGTTTATGATTTCAGCCGGGAATTGGGTTGCAAGTTCGATAGAGAGCCGGGACTTGCCAGTTCCAGTAGGTCCCATTACCATCACAACCTTCTCCTTTTGCCAGCTTCTGGGACTTAGCATGTCCATTTTGAGCATAGCAGGAGGAATATCAAGCATCCGACTTGTTTGTGGGAAAAGGGACATAGAAAGACTCGTCATCAACCTGTTTATGCAAACCATAATGTCCTAAAGCTTGTCAGATGAATAAAATGTACGTGCATGAATCTCAATAGATACACATTCATAATACATAATTCTAAAGTTAAAAAAGAAAAAAACTCACCTTCTCAGCACAAATTTAAGATGTGGGAGACAAACCCTTATCTCTCCAATGTGAATTCTATAGCAAGTGGAGCAATGAGAGTACTTAAGTGAGGGATGCTAAATGATCAGAACTAGAAGCTAGTTGAGGAGGAGATTGATATGTTTTCCTTCTAAGTTCAACCTATTCCAAAATTCATTGCAAGATGCGGTATTTATAGGCTTATGCAAACTGATCAATTAAGGCGTGTTCCTTGCTTTGTTCTAGCAAACCTTTTGTAAGTTTGTGGGGTTATCTTGACTGTCTTTTTTCTTTGAGAATGTTATCATGACCTTCTTATTCTCTCAAGAAAAAAAGAAAAAACAAAAAGGGTTTGGACCATTCAGTTATACAGAAGGGCATGATCAAATGAGCAGAAAAAGATTATTCCCAAGTGCTTTAACATTGAAATACACGATGAAGATTTCTCTTTGCATTGGTACCTATTATTGCTCATCGAATTCGATCTCAAAGCGAGTAGGTCGGCGTATCAATTTATGACCAAAAACTTCGTGATGAAATAATATGAGATTTGGTTTCGTCTAGCAAGCCACTAAGACTTTTTTTAAGTACTCAATTAAAAAAAAAGATAAAATAAAAGAAATATTATTAATGGAAAGAAATAACATTTGAGAGATAGAGAGAATTTCATCAATCGAAAGAGACAAAACTCACCGAAAAAAGTATAAATATCATAAATCGAAATACATGACACTTACATCACTAGCCATCGAAACACTTGAAGCCATTTGACCACAATCAAAGACAGTTCAATGCTTTTTAGGATACAATAATGAAACTATTGAAAGCAAGTAAATGTTATCGAGCTACTTGTACGAATATAAAAGCTAATTACAATAGGATAAACTAGAAAAATTCAATAAATTTGTATTGAAAAAGTCTTGTATTTTGATTGTGATCCTTGGTTATGTCGGTTTCACTTCTTTAAATAACTCATGATTTATAACTCGCTTTATATTTGAAGTTAGGTGCGAATAATTATTGGTAATTATCCCTTCGTTTCCTTTAGACATGTTGCTTTGTAGAATCCGATTGATTACAAAACTTAACGCATCATTTCATTTAAGTCTTACCGTTTCGTCGAGTTTAGTTGGTTATAAGACCAAACGCACCATTTCATTTGAATCTCATTGTTTCGTCGTAACTTAGTTGGTCATAAGACCAAATTACTCGTTTTATTTAGGTCTCACTCGTTTCATCATCGGAGGATATCATACTTGATCGACGTATGGCTTTTTAAATTTTGTGGTGCCAACATTACCATTAGTTTGTTGGTTTTTGTCCCTTTTCCAAGAAGGCCATATGAAACAGGATAGGATTACAAATTAATGGTGTTACAAGCTGCTTCTTTTATACTTCCTTCAGGAATTTGCTTGACAATAATTAGTAAATGTTTCCCTCAAAAAAGAAGTTGCTATGAAAATTAACACTGGCCAAATCATGATGCTCCAATTCTTTCACATGAAAGTCATGTGTATGTAAGGACAGTACTTCTTCAACCTTAAAGTTGACTCTCGAAGGTTGTAATGGTAGAGCATGAAAATGAAAGTGCACAAACAAAAATTCCTCTAGTGACAAGGGAACGTCAAGCCTGGTTGGAATCGACTATAAATTCACTTTTCATTGCCAAACGTCTGATTCCCTAAAAATGAAGTGGCCATCGCCGAAAGTTGAAGCAGATGTTTGCATAGCCGGGTTTTTGCATTCAACTGTGATGATTATATCTTTGGCTCTGTCTATCGAACAAAAAATAAAATGTTAGACAGAGACACCACCAATTTTACAACACTTAGTCTACCGATTGATTAATATGGCCTGAGATTAAAGGAGATATAGCTTAATATAGTAAGAAGTGGCCTCACTGTATAGGTAAAGTCACCTTAAGTGGGCATGGGTATTCCCTGTTACGTTATAGCCCTATGGTGTATCAATTGAAGGGCAATTAAAACCCACTTCAAAGGTTGATCTGCACCATGTCAATACGGAAGATTTGTCCTTAAAATTGTATGAAGAGATTTAATTTTAATAGATGTTTAAGTTGGTCAAAACATATTTTTACCGTCGAAGAAAAAAGGCAATTAAAACTTCTCAATGAACAAAAAAAATTACTCCAATATTAAACATTAATTACACTAGAATTATTTATAAATTAATTTGTGAAAAACTATTACCACCCAACAATACGAAATTAGCCAATAAACTTGTAGTTCAGTTGATACTCATCTACGTCTTTAGAGAACTATAATTAAAACCTTTATTTTATAACAAAAAGATAAAACAATCATAAAAATACGTTTGCTTTTTCTTCTTCTTCTTCTTTTCCTCATTTGAAGTAGGAGAGTGATTTAGGAATTACAACTGATACTGCCTACTAGGTAGTTTATGAGAATATCTTAGTACCATAGTTGCTATTAATTGACTTCAGGAAACAAGGACATCTTAGTACTAGTAGTGCTATTGTTTGACTTTTAGAAGACATTTTTGTTTTTTTCATCTAATGTTATCATTATGGTTTTGTTAAATAAGGCGTATTATTTTAAAATGTTTATAGAAAAATAAATTGCTTGAAACTCGTATCTTCGTGGATAGTTGGAATCTATGACAATGATATATTTTGTCGATGAATGTTACAGGGAAAAAAAAAATTCTTTTGATGGGACAATATACCACCGATCTTGGATGAATCTTTCAAGTCTTGACGTGAAATTGATTTTCACAGTCCATTACTTAACAAGTAAGATGATTCATTGAGAAGCTGCTTTTGTCATTCTTTGGTGAGTGTGATTTATCCAATGGCATATTTGGTGCACGAAAGGACAACCTTATAGCTGTAAAATGGTCCAAAGCCTTAGTGCCTTTATCAAAAGTTCATTGTTTCAATCATCTCTCTAGGCTGGTTTTCTTTTCTTTTTCTTTGTTTTTCCCTTTCTATAGAGTATTATCATGAATTATTTTGCATCCACCAAATCCAAATATAGGTCATCCAGAGCTAAATAATTAAGTGATTTGTCAAGCAATTATTTCTCATTGTTTGACCCAACGAGCTAGTAGAGTTGGATTCCATGTCATATTACCTAGTGGCCACTGGCCAGGCCATTTTATAGGCAATGTATTTGTTACTGTTTGATCCAAGTGTTAGACTATTTTGTTTATATTGTCAACCGCAATCACATATATATATTTTTTAATTTAATTAATATTGGACTGATTGAAGTATATTATTGTTGAGAGATATGTCAGGTCCAGATAATTATCACCACACTAATTAAATTGGACTATTTGCCTCTTTGGTGCATCTTAATTAATTATGAAATATGTGGTATTATTATTTTTTAAAAAGTATTAACCACTATTTAATGGAAAGGGTTATTATTATGTGAATAAATAAAAAAAATGGACTGTATCCTCACCTAAGCTAGTGTCTTTCTGGTCCGTTAAGAGAACGATATTTACCAATATTCAATACTAATATTTGTCAGAGATTTGCACACAGTTTGAAATATTCCACGTAGTTGCAATATATGACCCAACCCGACCCAGGTTTGGCGGATCATGGACATATCAGTAAAACGGGTTAAAAAACTTAAAAAACAGACGTATCAGGCCGGGCTGGCAGCCTGATAGTCCTAATTTTACCAAACCGCAAAACCCTACCCGACCTACATGTAAATTTATACTTGAATTAGACCAATCAAATCTGAAATATTGAAATTAATGAATACATCTGAATTTTTCTAATCTAACACTATAAACACATCCAAATCATTTCATCAACTACTATGTATATATTAACCCAGTTAACCATAAATTTCTTCATGTTCTAATATATATCAACCATCTTGTTCTAAAAACAAAGATATTATCAAAAATTACTTGTTTATTCCAATTAATCAACCAAATATTTCAATTTCAACGTTATTAATACAAATACATCACTTAACACATTCAATTCCAACATTATAATCATAACTCTCATGATTAAGCCATTAAACCATAAACCATAAACAATAAACTTCAATTTAACATCTAATAAACATCAAAAAGACTAGTTTCTTATGGTGTAATGAGAATTATATTTACCTCAATTGAAGTTTGGTCAATCCTCCTCCTTTTCTCTTTACATTTCTTACTCCTCTTTTTTCTCCAAATTTCAGCCCAAAGTTAATTTCTTCCTCCTCCATTGCTTGATTTTCTAAACTGATTCTAAGGTAGTTTGAGGGCGTTTCTTGGTTAACTAAAGTGGTTTGAAGTGGTGATTTTCTTATTAGTTGCACTTGTTCTTCCTTTAGTGTCACTTGGACTCTTAACAATTTCCAAGCTCGTCTTCCTTCATCCATGGCTGAATTTATAGGGAGGAGATTCTCTTGGATTAAACCAAGTGTGTCACGCTGAGATTAATCTCAAGTTCTTGCATTAATGGTGGTTCTAGATTTTTCTTGATTTTTCCTCTTTTCTTCCTCTTTTTCCTTGATTGTTTGGTAGATTTTTCTCTCTCTTTCTTCTCCTCTCTTTGTCAACTTAGCTCCTCTCTTTTTCTCTCCTTTTTCCAGATTTTTCTTGCTGAAATTAGTCTCCTAAAATCAATTAATAAATCCCCAAAGAGATTAACACATTACACTTTAGTTCCTAAATTTGTAATTCTTGCAATCGACCCCTTCAATTTCAATCTGCAACTTCACAATTTTTCCTAATCTAGCCCTTATCATAGGCCTTTTCCAAGAGTAACTAAAGTCCTTAAATTTTCTTAATCATTTCAATCAAATACCTAAACTTTTAATTATTGTAATTATGCCCT